GTGCCTGGTGATGCCTGCAGGAGTCAAGCAGAAGCTTCTGTTGTTAAAACTGAAACTTCAGACAAAACAAAATGAAAAAATTTACTTTTAAAAAATGAAACTCCTACAGTAGACCGGTTCTGAATGCAGAGGAATATGTTTGTGTTTTCTCACTATTTCTAGCTTGCAGCTACTTACTCTGTAAGCTACTTTGAATGTAACATTAGACCAATAAAAATGGATTTTGGATCCAGGATGTGGGCCAGCAGACCAGTTGGTCCGCGTTCTTTACAGTATTTGCATAACCAGCATCCCAGAATCATCGCTAACTGAGAATACTTCCACTGGACTGCGTTCTCACCTGTTTAAAACTTCTCTCAGTGCTTCGTTTCTTCTGCAGTTTTCAGCTTTTTGCTAATAGTTTATGTTTCTGTTCTTCCAACTCTTGAATTGAATCACTCTGTGGATGAATCGGTATAAAGTATGAGTTTCAGTCTGAAATGGAAATAGTTAAACAGATCAACTGGGTTTGCTGGTGACCTGCTGATTTTGACCAGCTTTAAATTAGAACTTTCTGTCCTGATATCCTGCAGGATCAGTAAATCCAGCTGCTGCTGTTCCACCGACCATCAGTTAGTGTGAAACAGGTCAGCGTGGAGCTGCAGCTTCATGCGGTCACTTCCATGCTCAGCCAACACTGCTGCAGCTCTCCAACACCACTGTGTTAAGGAGCAGAACTATCCGCATTCGCCTTAATAGATGAAATACAATCTTTTTTCTGTGCCTTTCTGAAATTGAAATATTTTACTGCAAGATTTTGAGTCTGGCTGCTATGGATCTTCTGGAGTAGATGTTTGCAGAGGAGTTGGTTCCTCCTCCCTCCATAAATACGATGGAGGCTCTGCTGTGGCCGTCCCAAAGGAAACAATGCTGGAATAAGGGTTCTTCTGTCTGGGGGTGGTTCTGTGAAATTTGGTGAATTAGCTGATGAAGCAGAAGCCGCCTCAAAGGTGCCTAAGGACCCTGATCGGCAGAAAGAAGAATGTGAAACTGCTTTATTTTGAGAAGTGTTCTTACCCACCTGCAGTGTTCCTGCTTTTACTGTCTGGACAGACTGTCAGTGCAGGGTTCCCCTGGATCAGATCTATGTTCTTCTGGATCAGAACTGAAGCTTTTAATAATGAAGGTCATCCATGCTTTATCTTCCCACCCTGCACTTGTCTTGGCCCAAATTAAAAAGTGCCTTCAGTCAGTAGCTCCTCCTTCTGATGTCACAGGAGCAGAAAAATGCAGTTCTGGGTTTTGGTCCAAGGCAATGCATGTCCCACTCCATCCTGGAGGGGTCATGCTGTCCTCTCCAAATTTTTTTTGTTGAAGAAGCTGAGCTCTGTGTTGATTAAAACTCAGTTAAAACTTTATTACATAAAAAGAAAAAGAAAAACAGTTGGTGGTGGACCACTTTTTCTGGGTGCAAAGCCGTATTTCCCATAAGATCCCCCCCTCCCAACAGCTTGCAGTGTTTAACCAAAGACCAGGTGGATGCTGATTCACTTACCACCAGCAGCTTCTAGTTAGCGAGCTAACAGGAGGTATAACAAGGTGGCCATTTTGGAACTACTGTACTGTTTATTTTCTACGTTATTTTGTTTACATCAAAATCTGCTTCCAACCTTCAGCACCTCACTACATTTTTTTGTTTGTTTTTTAAGTCTGCAACAAAACTTAATGACCTTTTTTAATCAAACTCATCACCCTCTGTGCCCCTTTACCTGCCTGATCATAAAGGTTCATCTTGAACAGAATAACAAACCTCAGCTTCTAGTTATTAACGGTAACTAAAATTAACTGTATCCACTCACCTGTATAGGTCGTAGATTAAAATTCATGATTATGTGACTATAACTGATGATTTGTTGAATGTTGAAATTAAACTTCTATGGAAACAAGTTTTCTTCAGTTTCTGGTGTGTTGAAACCAGTGTTGATGTGAGCGCTTTACATTTGACCAGGAGGCCAAACACAAACCCAGCAGATCAAAGAGTTCTGCTTGTTAACAACTATGAAGAAAATATTATTTTTCTCAGATTTAAGAGGACTTGTTTAGAAACAGACAACCAGCTTTGAGTAAACTTTGCTTGAGAGGTGTGTTTGGATGATATTCTGAAGATATTCAGGTTCTCAGGGCCTATAATCCCTCATGGTTCATTTGTTTTTCTGATGGGTTTCAACAATTTTCTAAAGCTGGGGGTCTAGTCATCTAAATCAGCCAATCTGAAGCAGAGATACATCTAAAACATTGGGAATAGCGAGGCTTCAGAAAAGTATACCTCAGAGCACCCTGTTAGAAATATACATTTCTATTCAGGCTGTTTTTTCCCAGTGTACATAAAACCGCCTCCGGCTTCATTATATTAAATCTTTGTCATTTTCAACTTTTTCAAAGAAAAAACATTGACTCTGAGGAATGTAATTTAAAGTACTACCTACTCCCAAGTAATGGTAGTGATTAGTGGCTCTTGTTTAATAAATAAAACATATGGTGGTGAGCTTTAATAAGGATCAATTATGCCAATGTCTTGTTTTAAAACTTTTCAAAGAGCTGGAAAGGTTTGAGGGAGGATTTTGGAGAAAAAAAACTCTTCTGCACCTTTTGAGCAGCTCCTTGATAAACCCAGAGTTGGTTCTTCATTTGGACTACAGGTGAGAAAGAAGGGAGAAATTCTTTGATTTTATACAAAATGTAAGATTACTTCTTATGAGGTCCTATAAAATGCTATATTGTGTAAAATTACATTTTATATAAAAACTACAACCATTGCTGCTCTGTCAGATTACCAGTTTAAGGCTGAAACATCTGCTGCATTTGTTTCACCCCCTTTAATATAGATATCCTTTAGTCCAGGGTTTTGAAAAAAGGTTTATTTTTTAGCATTCAACGTTTTATCAAGTGTTCTTTGGTGACATCTGGTGACCAAAGATAAGAACATCTTGGAGCTCCACATTCAAAGTGGCTGCAGACACCAAAAAGCTAAATATGACGCTTTCAACACAATAAATGCGTTAATGTTTCTATAATAAACATACTGTTTTTTAAAAGATCAGGGGCGTCTAAAGTCCTACCTGGGTTTGCAGTTCTAGAATAATACACATGCAAATTATTACTGAAGAAATGTTCTTATTGACTAAATGAACATTAATTAAAGCTAATATTTCAATCTGCTCCACATCTCCCAATATACTTTTACTGATTTCCTACTGCTAGATCTGCTTTAAATAAATTTTCTAAACTTCTCTAAAAACAGCAAAGTGTTTTCTGTGATACAGTGACTAATATCCTGTTCATATTGCTGAGGGGAGATTAACTTTTTAGATTTGTTTCTAATTGATTACAAACTGAATTGCTTTCTTTCAAATAGAAAAAACTTTCTTATCAAACTTTGAATGCAAAATAATTCATGAATCATTTTTGCTACTATAATCTATCTAAATGGAATATTTCATGCTCTTGCTTTCATTTTAACAGATCACAATCAGGATTTTTTAGTTTTATATTATTCATTTATTTTTTGGCCTCTGAGTTTTTGTTTTGACCATCTTGCCCATATGGTACAAAGTTTACACCCACCTGTTATAAGCTATTTTAATTCAGGTACCAAAGCAGCAACGGGATTATATGACTACTGTATAAGCAAATGAACCAAACCCAACAGTGTTTCTGAAGCCAGAGATTCAACTTCCAGCAGACTAAATTTACAAAACACTGTCTGCGGATTTAAAAAAGAAAGTTTAGATCTAAAATGGCTGCTTTGGTTCAGAATCTACTGAAAAAATGTGGCTCATATGGACCGGCATAGATATTCCAAATTTAATTTTAACAGTTTGAGAAGGTCCAACAAAGTAAAAAAGCTTTTTGAGACCAGGATGACTTTAGGTCTTTTAGGATTTTTTTTTTTAAATTATTATTCTTCGATTTCTTCTTCTTTTTTTTTTAAAGGAAGTTTGGAGAAACCAGGTTTCAGTCTCAATACTACACCAGAAAAACAATCTAGAAATAAGTAAAAATTTCTTAAATTAAGTGTATTTACTCTTAATTTGAGTAGGTAAAATGAGATAGCTTGCCAATGAAATAAGATACCGGTAATTAGATAATATGCACTCGAAATAAAACAATGCAATTGTGTTTTCTGATTTTAAATGTAAATTGTCTTGTTCCATTGGTAAAATATCTCTTTTACCTCCTCAATCCAAGAACAAATGCCCTTATTTTAAGAAAAACATGACTTATCTAGATTTTGATTTTTTTCCAGTGTACATGCTAACATTTTTTTTAAATAAGTAAAAAAATTATTTACTTCAAGATCAATAACCAAATGTGGACATTTGTCTTGGTCTTAGAACCGGGACATCTGGATTCTGTGAACTGCCTGAACAAATACTTTAGCCATCCATCTTTGGACTTTAGAGCTGCTAAGTTCAACATGTGATCTGTATCTAAACCTTTTTCCAGTTTCAAACTTTAACCTCATAATTCACTCTGGAAATTAAACCCAAAACTTCTTGGCATGCTTCTTAACAGGTTTCAGAGATTCTCCTGATTATTTTGAAAAGCCTGCCGTCAGTTCAGGCAGGTTTGACAACAGCCTTTGTTACTGCTTCCAGGTTGGATTCAGTTCCTTTATTCAGGCATTAATCATTTAACTCCAATGTTGAAGGTCCTGCAGATCTGATCAGAACTTCACTCAAACTTGACTGTTGCGCCAATGCCATTTTTTGGCCCGATGCCATATCGGCCAATACCGATACCATACGTTTGAAATTGATGTGTATGTGTATATGAAGAACTGCATACTACTTGGATGTATAATAATTGCCATCATGGCTTTGTCAGGCTGCTGCCTACCTTTGTGAAGCAGGAAAAAGACTAATACAAAGTGAATCCAGTAGAACTTTTTATTGCCTACCTGGAATGTGTGACAATAGTTGAATAAACTTTTGGCTCTAAAAATGGTATCGGTGCCCTATTTGTTGGTACTCGCCGATACCGATACCACCATTTTAGTGCTGGATCGGGGCCCCGCCCGATACTGGTATTGGTGCAACACTACTCATTAGTGGAGAAATTAATTGGTTCTGACTTGGTTTATTTTTACAGCATCTTTTAACAGCGGTATAGAAAAAAAAAAGGTAAAACTTCCTCCTCCTCTGGATCAGAACAGGGCAGAGATGAGCACCTGCAGCAGATCCACATCCAAATAAACCCGGCAGAATGAGAGGAAAACACCCACAGCCGAGAACCCGATCAGAACCCACAGAACCTTGGCACTGAAGTAGAGCGGAGCCAGTCTGGAAGAGAGCAGAAATTGGAGAGCAAGAGCTCAGAAAAAAACAATGCTGCAGGCTCTTCTGCAGGATCTCTGGTATATCAGCAACAAAACCTTCAGGATTCTGCTACAAAACCACAGAAGATTGGAATCATTTGATGTTTGAAAGGATAGGAAATAGGAATAGGAAATCAAGATTTTCCTTAGAATATCATTATACTCAGCATTTTACTAGCTACAGTTTTATTGCTGGGAAATTATATCTATGATCTATATGAATAAAGTTGACTGTGTTGTGCTAAAGTTGACTTACATATTTAGAAATGTAAATTAGTTGCAGAAGATTAATTTAAAAGCTAAATACTAAACTGGAAAAGAAATAACCAAATGTAAGATGCTTAACTAAGAAGGAAATCGTTATCACCTATTGAAATAACCATACGGAGAGAGAACGGATAACTAGTTTAAGCATGTATGAGCTTTAGTTTGCTGCTCCCATTTCACAAAATCTGTGGAAGATGATGAAAAATTATTTACATTTTGTTCAAATGTATTACTTTTTTTATATTATTTAGTTATTCTAAAATCAGAAAAAGTCAGTTCTTAGTTTTCAATAACTTCAGTTGCAATTTCATACTTAAATCGTTATCCACTATAGTGGACAAGCTATAAAATAAAGATAATACATGTTATAAAAGATTGTAAGGTGTTCATTTGGGCCTAGATTGACAGGAAATCACATAAATAAAGGAATAGGAGGACAGTTTATTGGGGGGGAGGTTTTGGGTCTCGGGGGGGTATGGACTCACTAGTAGATCTGTTCTGGCCCAAAACCAGTGCCTGATATCAGCCTGATACCCACCTCAATTAAGACATGTGATAATATAATTAAATCCATGTCTCATGATAAATTCAAAGACTAAAACCACCAAACGTCAGAAGAACTAAGCCTTTGCAAGATGATGCCAGAGGGGCTATAAAACTCTGGGACTTTCACTGTGCAGCTTTAAACTGATCCAGTTTAAAAAGGACAACAGGGACAAATAAGGGAGTTTAGGTCCTTTAGTGCTTGAAGCAGGTATTTATACTCCTCTACCACCTTTATTAAGGAAAAGTATCTGCTGCCAAGTCTTCACAGAAAGTTAAGATTAAAATGCCCAAAGAATAAATCAAATATTCTTGCTATGTAAGAATATTTTCCTTTAAGGTGCAAAAACTCAGCAGATTACTAAATTTTTCTGGTTTTCATCCTACCGTCCCTGTGCAGACTCTGCGTATCCCCAGAAGTAACGCAAGCGTCCATATAGATACAGCAAACCGCAGATGCTGGACAACCCTGCATCACACACACATACAGCCTTAGAGTCATCTGTTCTCAGTGAGTGTACCCATGCTCACGTCAGCCGTGGCCTCACCTTGGCTGAAGAAGACTCCAGATGTCCACATTACAGTGATGAAGATGGGGAAATACTCCGAACAGTTTGCTCTGCAGCATAAAAAGCAGTAGGGTTAGAGCTGTGACAATAAACTCACCAGGAAGCATCAGCGAGCTTTCAATTATGGGCAAAGAGCAACTTTACAGGAGATCTTCGTGCAGGTGATAGATCTGCAGAGACTCAGAATAGTCAGCAGAGCAATTCGTCCTGCTTATGTACCGTATCCAAAACTGCTGCTAACTAAAAAGCTTTACTAGTTTTTGATCTCCACTTATCCTGCACTATCTCTATAGTTATGCTGCTATAGGTTTAGACTGCTGGAGGGCAAGAATCGTTTCCCCTCACTCTGCTACAGTCTCCTTCTATTCTCTTATTTTGCATTGTTTATTTTACTTTAAACTTTATTTTCTGTCTGACATTTCTTTCTGCCCCATTGTGTTAGTGTTTAACTGTATCTCCCTGCTGAATAAGAAGTTTTGGGGGTCTTTTTCTTACTTGTTACTCGAAGTTTGGTATCTTTGTCTGTCTGTAGTTCTTTTTCCTGTCCTTTCAAAACTCTGTTGGTTCCCGCATTTTCCTCACACATATCAACACTGGTTCAGCTCTTTTGTTCATATTTAAGGGAGTCTTTCTTTCCCACTGTCACCACAACATGCTCAGGAGACGAGTTTTATGGGCAGACATCAACTAAATTTATTTGTACCCAACTGTTGTACCATAGTTTGATCTAAAGGGAATCACATTTTTTGACTGTTGTGGATTGTTCTGGATTTGATGTACTCCTGTTTATTGAATTGGTCATTTTGCTGTGATTTGGTTTTATTTGAATAAAATAACTTGATTTGCAATTAAAGCCATTTTTTCCAAGCTATTGCAGAGTAGCATCAATAGACCAACTATTTCACTGCTTTGCATTTCACCGTTGGAAGACACGCTAGCAGAAAACACTGCTGCTATATCTTCATGCACCTTAATAGAACAGCGAACAAGTATTACTTGATCACCTGAAAGCCAGACCGGCTCCAAGTCTTTTAAGCTGTTCCAAACAATCTGATGCAGTTGAACACTGCGTATCCCACAGAGTGTAGCTTTTATGCTAACAGATGGTGATGGCAACTAATTTTGAAAAGCTAAATGTGTAAAAAAGTGTGCATGAATGTTTCTATATATCTTTTCATCGTACATCCCAGTTCACATAGAAAAGCTGAGCTGCTGGTGGCCTAAAGACCCCCCAGTTTTTATGCTGATGAGTTGTAACATTTACATGAGAAATTAACATTTATATTTTCTATCTGACTCAGTCTGTTCCACCATTTTCTGAGGTATGTTAGGTTATTGTATGAAGATAAAAGAGGTTTAGTTTCCTTGTTCAGGTTGAACCATAAATTTTCAAACTAAGCTTTCAAGGTTAAAGGTCACATAAAGGAACAGGATTTTTTTGTTTTTGTTTCAGCTGGTTTGTTTTCACACAGTTCTCTATGCTGTGATCTACAGGCACCCTAAATACAATATGGACTTCTTAAAAGTGTTTCATAATTTTGCTGGCAGCAATTATACCAAAATAAAATCGCTTTCATGTCGTGGTGGACTTAAATATTCATGTGTGCTTTTCCAATAAGCCGATGGCAAAGTCATGCAGATTATTTTATCACCATCTTTCTCCAAGCCCACACAAATATTTGCACATTAGAACTGGTATTTACATATAGTCAACACATTCTTAGCTTAGAGCTTTGTTATGTGGTTTGGTCAGAGTATAAGACCGTATTGTTTGAAATTTCCCTTTTATCTGGAAAAGTTAATCCCTCCCCTAAAATGCTTTTTTTGATGCTTTTAATCAAAATTACAGCTTTCCTAAATCCATACAGTATATATGACGAATGTGACAAACTTTGTGGCCCAATTTTAAAATCAGGCAAGTAAAGACCATACCTAAACCATGACTTAATCAAACCACCTGGAATCTGCATGATTTAAAAATTATTTTGCAATCAGCTTATCGGGATAGCACACATAATTATTAAAGTCCAAAACAAAACGAAAGTGATTATATTTTGGTATAATTTCAGCTAACAAATTAGAAAACACATTTAAGAAGTCCTTATTATATTTATTGTGCCCGCAGAGCTAAGCACAGACGGAAGAAAGATAAACTTCCAGTGTGAAATGACATTTTAAAAGGAAACTGGATGTCTTACCAGAAAGTTGACCGGAATAATAAAAAAAAAAAAACATCTATTGATCAGTAAAGCACTTTGTCACAAGACCTCTAATTCATTTGAAAGTATTGACATGGTTCTTCATTTACTAAAGTCTATCTGTGTCCAAGCTTTTTCTAAAACAGATGAAACATTCCTTCCAGTGAGGGATCTGACAGTGAGGTCAGTGTCCTCACTGTGTTCCTCTAACAGTGCCCTGAGCTCTCCCACTAGTTGAGCCTGTTTTATTGCAGAAAACTATTCTTTCTCCTGGTCCTTTATACGATGTTTTCCTTCTGCCGCTCTTTCAACAACACCTTCCTTAACATTCAGTCACTTCTAAATAGCATCCTGTCCTCTGGGGTTGTTCCTACAGACCTTAAATAGACAGTAATTGAGCCTTTGCTAATAATAAAAAAACATGCTCTAAACTAATAATTTTCAAATTAAGGACATATTTCTAAACTTCCTTTTATTTCTGGTTTTCATTATTTATCAATTAACAAGTAAGTCATGTCTTTTAAGAGGACCATGTAGTTTTAGAGATCTTTCAATCTGATTTTAAAGCTGTATATAATACTGAGTCTACAGGTGTCCCACAGGGCTCAGTGCTGGGCCCTCATCTTTTTTTCTCTATTTGTCTGTTATCATTTATTTTATTTTCAAGAAACATTGATTCTCCTTTCATTTATTTGCAAATGTGTTTTGTACTTCCTGAGAGGATTGTTTTTTCCCCTTTTTTATTTCCTTTAAATTTATTTTTTGTTTTAAACTGTCTGTTTTGGCCTTTGTTTTACTTGCTATGTAGCACTTTGTGAATATAAGGTTTTATCAAAGTTCTTTAGAAATTAAGATCATATGGTGTTTTAAAACCCTGGCATTTTAACTGGGTTTTTAAAATTTTTTTTAGACATTTTTATTGTCAATACAGCTACACAGGCAGGTGTAGTTTCCCCAATGAAACACACACAGGCGAACAAGGTACTGACTGAGCTCTGAAGATCCGCTCGAACTCTGGCGGGCCGCTGGTGGTGGGCGGAGAGACACTGTACTTCCTCCTGGCGTAAATTACTTGCAAGGAGAAATAGGCTGCATACAAAAAAACACCAACATCATTATTATTATTATCACACTGATTTACATACAGTGGCTGATTTTTCAAAAGGTCTGAGTCATAACATATCCTTGTTCCTATTGGACCCATTCCATACACCTGTGGGAACATCCTCAGTGAGGACTGTGAGGTTCTTCAAAACAAAGTTTACTCTTAATAATGAAAGCAAATATGCTTCATTAAAGCAAACAAAAGGTCAAAGTTAAATCTTCTCTATAGACCTCTTGGACTGTAGAAGGCTTTCCTTTATACTATCCCAGAAAAAGCAGCAGGATAAAAATAGATAAAATATTTGCATCTGGATGGAAATACTTGTCTCAACTTTATAAAACGGCAAAATGGATACAGGAAAATAACAAACCTGAACCTAAAGAGTAGTCAGATTACATCCTAGACACTGAGATTTCCTTGGATCTCCAACCACAGCCTTACCTTGCTCCAAGACACCCAGCACTGTCACTACACCAAGTCCTACTGCCTCATCCAGCATCTTTGCAGGGTGACAAGTGAGAAGCACCTGAACTGTGGAGATGGAGTGAGACCAGACAGGAAGCTTTGACAGTCCGAGAGAGCCTGAGAGAGAGTACACCTGTAAGAGGCGGAGCTAAAATTCACACCTGTAGGGAGGGGAGCTTAAATTCAGACCTGCATAAAGCAGATCCAAGTTACACAAGCAAAAAATATGCCATCAGGAGGCAGATAGCTGGTAAGGCATCTACTCAAACATATCAGATCTTCTATAAGTTAATTATAGAATGTGGTCATGAAACATGCATGAAAACCCCTGGAAAGGATTCAGTCTTGAAAGCAGCTGATCGTAATTTCTGCAGGCCCATACCATGATCAAACTTCCAGCAATAACTAATCCTGGATGAAGAGGGCTGTTGATTCTCTTTCAACAAACTTCATGGAGGACTGATAATCTGACAACAAAATGCTGGTGTACTCTCAGCCATCCAGGACATGGTGAATCCAAAACATGACGATGTCAAAGACATTTCAGGCTTCATCCAGTTCAATTCAGTTTATTTATACAGCACCAATTCACAAGACATGTCATCTAAAGGCTCTTTACAGTTCAACCAGATCATACAGTCAAATTGATTCAAAATTTTCTATCTAAGGAAAACTAGTTGATTGCATCGACTCATTGGCTCTAATGCAATAACCTTACAGTGGAGAGGAAAAAAATCCCTTTTAACAGGAAAAAACCTCCAGCAGAACCAGGCTCAGTGTGAGCGGCCATCTGCCAAGACCGACTGGGGTTCAAGGAGACAGAAGCAGAGACACAAAAAGCAGCTGCAAAAGGCGGCCCCGTCCAGGAAACACACAGCCAGGCAGACGAGCTCCAAGCCAGCTCCCATGCCAGAGGACGAAGAGAGCACATCCACCCAGTCACTGTCAGAGAAACAGGACCACACTGGAAAACAGGCTGATCTCCAACATCTATAAACAAGGGTGTTGATGGAAGCAGCACAGCTGATGTTTCTCTCCAGGATGGAGTCACAGCTTAACAGGGTTAGACGAGGGAAAGCTACTATGAGAAAAAGCAGAGAGAGCATAACGTTAGAGATGAACTAACAGATTCTGCAGAATAGGAGAATAGAGAGAGAAGGAAGCAGAATGATGAAATGGGGGTCCCTATGTCCTCCAGAAGTCTAAGCCTATAGCAGCATAACTATAGAGATAGCTCAGGATAACCTGAGCCACTCTAACTATAAGCGTTATCAAAAAGGAAAGTTTTAAGCCTAGCCTTAAAAGTAGACAGGGTGTCTGCCTCACGGACTAAAACTGGTAGTTGGTTCCACAGGAGAGGAGCCTGATAACTAAAAGATCTGCCTCCCATTCTATTTTCAGAAATTCTAGGAACCACTAGTAAACCTGCAGATTGAGAGCGAAGTGCTCTGTTAGGAATATAAGGAACAATCAGATCTCTGATATAAGATGGAGCTTGGCCATTTAAGGCTTTATATGTGAGAAGGAGGATTTTAAATTCTATTCTTGATTTAACAGGAAGCCAATGAAGAGAAGCCAGGATAGGAGAGATATGATTTCTCTTTTTAATTTTCATCAGAACTCTGGCTGCAGCATTTTGGATCAGCTGAAGGCTTTTAACTACAGTTTGTGGACTTCCTGATAGTAAAGAATTACAATAGTCCAGCCTTGAAGTAACAAATGCATGGACTAGTTTCTCGAATCACCCCTGGACAGGAGATTTCTAATTTTTGCAATGTTCCTCAGATGAAAGAAGATTTAAATGACAGGTCCTGATCAAAAACAACACTGAGATTTTTTTTTACTTTATTATCTGAAATCAGTTTAATCCCATCCAAATGAAGTGACTGACTAATCAGCTTATTTTTCAAAGACTCTGGTCCAAAGACTATAACTTCTGTTTTGTCTGCATTCAGAAGGAGAAAGTTAAGAGTCATCTAGGTTTTTATGTCTTCAAGACATGCCTGTAATCTATGTAATGGGTTAGCTTCATCTGGATTTATAGACAGATATAGCTGGGTATCATCAGCATAACGGGGAAAATGGATCCCATGCTGTCTAATAACTTTACCGATTGGTAGCATGTATAAAGTAAAGAGAATTGGTCCTAGCACTGCAGAGACGTGTGTTAAACTACGCATTATGGCTAACATGGAAAACTCTTTGTGGAGGAAGACATCCTGTACAGACCATACGAACAGTAAAGCATGGCTGTGGTGGCATCATGCTGTGGGGATGCTCTTCTTCAGCAGGAACAAGGAAGCTAATCAGAGTTGGTGTGATGGATGAATTATCCAGGGCCTGATAAAAAGAAGCTTCAAGGAAATCCTCACCCTTGTGGGCTGAGTAATATTCAGACCATCTTCCTGATTTGATTTTTTGCAATATGTTGTTTTAGGGATGCTTCACATCCTCTGATAGAGGTGGGGACTTGCCTCCTAACTGTAGGGAGCCATCCACCTACCAGCTGCTGAAACCTTCAATGAGACAGAAATAAGAAAAAGGCCTTATGGTTGTTATTCCCAAAACTTGTCTGCTGCATTGTTTCCAGCCAATTACTGAACAGATTGAATTTAGCTCCATTCTCATTTCATCCAAACAGATTTTTCTGGGGGGGAAAAAAAGTTTGATTTTAGAAGGAAATCCCCATTTGAAAAAATGTTGTCATCCATTTCCCACTAATGAGCCACAACGAATGAAACCTGCTCTTTCAGACCCAGCAGTCAATCTCTAAGGTCATCCTCAGGGATGTTGATGTATGTAGACATCAGGGGTTCCCAAACATTTCAGCTGGTGATCCAATAAATACCTTCCCATTAAAGAAAATAAATTCAGACTAGTAATGCAAATAATCTGAACAATTCAAACAGCGAAAACATTTTTACTAAATGATAATTTAGTAAAATGTTTGTTTTTGAAAATAATTCTAGAAAAACAGACTGTCCCTGACAAATTAGGAAACCTTGCTCATGAACAGTGAACCTGTAAACAGGTGCAAAATCTGACTGATCATTTCCTGAACATTACAAAAAAAACACCTGATTTCAGTGTTTGCCTCAAAAATCAAAAACATTTTATTTCATTCATTCATCCCACACATTCAAAATTAATGTCATTTTAATTACTTTTGTGATTTTCAATCTATTTTATTGGCAGCTGATTGTCTTTGACAGAAAGGTATGTACGCTTTCAAGCACAACTGTATTTATAAAGTGATAATTTTTAAATAAATGTGTTTGTAAATGAGATCTAATCCTTTTATTTTAAATGCTTTAGTGCAACGTTCTCGAGTCAAAGGACCCCCAAACTGATGGCGAGATGGAGCGGGGACTCCCTAATTTTATATATAATTGTATGCAATAGTGTTATATCAAACTGGTCCTATAGTCACTATATTACACATGGAGAGATGTAACGAAATAATTCCTCCCTGGGATTATTAAAATATTTCTGATTCTGGTTGATGGGACAGGTGTTGTGGATGAGACGGTGTCCAGCTTAAAAGAGCTCCCATGTATCGTTGAATGTGTGCATTGATGACTGAAAGACATCTTCTGCCTCCATTTATCTGTTTACTACAATGTGTTGAATTCATGCTAATATGTATTTAAAGAAATTTCAATAAGTGGAAAAAATTGCAGGGAGGAATATAAAAAAAAATGGTTAAAAACTTTTGCAACCCCCTGTTGAAGGCCTCCGCTTTAGTGAATGGGACATTTTAATCTATATGATGCATAAATGTTACATCTACCTACTTCAAGGTGGATTTAATGGCAGTAAAATTTATGCATTTATTCTGCATGTTTGCACTACATTCATCAGGGGTCCCATCACAACTATTGTGAAAACCACTTTGGGAAACCCTGCCCTAAACCTTCCTCAGGGTTTTCATCGACTCCACTCTGAAGCACAATACAGGAGCGGTTCAGTGAAGCGTCTCAACCAGGCACAACCGCTAAAATCCAAACCTTACATCAACACCTTACAGGTAAAATGATCAGGATCCAGAACCCCGAAACGATTTCTCCCAGGAGTCCATCATACAAGCAGATGACATGTTGGACACCACATGTTCTGAACCTTCTAACACAAGGCACAGACCTGAGGAAGGAAATGCACTCTGTAAAAACACCAAATATAGAACCACATTCATCCCTCCTTTCAGCCTCACTGAAGAACAAAGACTTGAAATATAGGAGGGCCCTGAGGGCCTGCTGATAAATAATTTTGAATAAGAATGGTTATGACCCCGTAGAACGTGTGGGATGATGACTGAATGATGAGGTTTTATGATACTTTTACTGTTTATTGGACCTTTTTTATGGTTTTATTCTCTTGATTGTTTGGGTTGTTGGAGCAGCTTTCACCTGCAGAAAGAATCGCTCTTAACGGAGAAAAGAATCTGTTAGTGCTTCTGAAAACCCAAACCGATCCTACAGACCAAGAATTTATTATAGACCGATTGGATCCAATTTTCAATGAAGTTTTAGGACTCTACTCCACAGGAGGAGCATGCTTCCAGGCAAAAAATAAAACCCCACAAAGAAATCATTTCTAAAGAACTATATTTACACAATAATCTTGTTTTACAGAGAACCATATCAAAAGTATAAAATACTTACAAAATTCAGCTGCAATATATAAAAATAACTTCTATCTTCTCCACATCATTAAGAAAGGTTTACATAACAAAAAATATATTTATAAACATTTATACATAGTCAGTTCACAACAGTTGGGCCTAGAAAAGTCGGCAGACTCTGCAGATGGAGAGTGAAAACTGTCACAAATCAAACGTACAAGTTGTCTGCAGAGACTGGAAACGTGGATGGAGACAGAAACAGTACAGTAGATAATCCAAGGCCACCTTAAAACCAGACGGCTGTCAGGGTCAGAGGTTTGAAAGAGACCAGAATACGCTTTTAAAAGTCTAAGGAAGGATCCCTGGAAGACCAACGCTGCGTTCTTACAGATGTTTCCAATTCGGTTACACTAAATGATCTGTTAGAATCTCCCATCAGAACTTTAAGCTTTAGAATGAACTCATAATAATAAACTCAATTATTTAACTTCATTTTTTTTTATCTATACCTGCTTCAGATTTATAACATATTTTGCAAATGGAGAGAAAACAAACCAGTTGACGCAGCTCAAACTTTAACAAATTTAACAGAAGGAAAGAAGTTGAATTCCTCCTTTTCTAAAACAAAAAACAAAAACAATTTTAGTCCCTGAAGCTGAAATCTTTGCTACAACCTCCTGAAGGCTAACATGCAATCTAGCAGACCAGATTTAGGGCTCCAGGTCTCATCCTCAGAAGCGCAGCACTGCAACAGGTTTCTTTTCCTTTAGGTTAATTTCTAACCAGAATATAAATGCAGTTATTGCAGTGGATTTATCAGACTGATCAACAAGCTGCAGCCCAGGGACTAAAAATATTCAGAGGGGAGAAACTAGTTTGCATAAACGGAACCAACTCTTGTTGAAGATGTTAGACTTTGTGTTGTTTCCATAAATTTCCCTACAGTATGAAAATGAACCTTCTACATGGGAGCCAACAGAGGAACCTCATGGAGGCTTCAGGGTGAATGAACTTCAGCTGCTGTCCATTAAAACATCTCGCTCCCCAGGGCCGTGCTGCCAGCCTCCAGGTGGCGCTCCGGGGGCGAGAACAGTGGTTCAGTAGTAGTCTCAGTCTATAAACGCCACACGGTTTGCAGCCTGATGCGATCAGATCAACATCCAGACATGCCAACTCTACAGTTTCAGGAAGGGGAGCAGGAAGTTCTACTGGGATGCCTGGGACTCATCGTTAAGGCATCCCGCCTGCATTAGATCTTTGTTTTTGTGGCTTTAGATAAACAGGATTTCTTTGTAATTATGAGATGACTGGACATCCACAAAATATTCAAAACATTTTGAGGCAAATGCTGCGATTTGACTGGGAGTTGATGAAAGTTTTAGCTCTGGATGTTTTAACCAATGAATGATATCAGCTAAGGTGGCTGATTTTCATAGAAAATCAGCAGTAAAGCCAATAAAGATGGTGGCATCCCTAACTTCACTTCTCAACCTTTTTTTCCTAACCATTCATGATGATTCAGCATGAAATGATAATGATGAAAAATTCTGATTACACAGTAGTGAACAACAGATGAAGTGGTGTCATCCTGCTGAAGATGTTTAACCACTAGAGCTGAAACTCATTTTGGTCCCTTCAAATTAAACCGTTGGTTCTGATCACTAATTCATGATCCAAACCAGCATCTGCCATGATACCAGAGCACTGCCCTCATCACTTCATGCTTTCACTGAATGAATTAGGCCAGAAGTTGCATCAACTCATTTAAATGTCTGCTTTCCCCCGGAAGTGACTCTTTGGAGGAAGTAATGCAATAATTAATGCTGTTTTGTCTTTGTGCTGTGATTTGGAGTTACATGATGGGGGTTCTGATCCGATCTGGCTCTATCAGGAGGGTTACTTCACTGTTCACCTTCTATCACTCACCACATTAGATTTTTTTTTCAGCTATTCCGGGGTCAGCAGTGTGCAGTGAACTCATCTGGCCCATCTAAGTAAAATTGCTGCCCTCTTTCCCATCTGAACCTTGGATCAGATCCTTCTCAGCTGGGGCGCCGTGTCTTACGGGTGGCTGGCGAGCAGCTCGTCCAGGTCGGCCATCCACTCCTGCGTGCTCTGAGCCTTCAGCAGTGAATCGACTAGCTCACTTTCTGCGGCGAAGCTCCCCGCCGCTGCGTTGTAACCGAATGACACCTGCTGTTGCTGGCTGGCAGTCCTGCTCACCTGGTAACCTTGGTTACACTGCATTGCCTGGCGGCTGCTTCCCTGTCCGAATGCTGCCAGGTCTGAGAGGACTGCCTGGCTCTGATTGGCCGGCTGCTGCTGACTCTGCTGCTGCTGGCCGAGGCTGTGGGCCGCCGGTGGTGCCCTCTGCTGGGCAGCCATGTTTGTCTGCATCATCTGCTGCGCAGCATTTAGACCAGTCATAGGGCGTCCACTGGAGCCAGGGCCAAAAGAGGCAGAACCAGCGGCCATCTTGGGGATGCGAGGCTGCTGCATATGGAAGCCGTTGTTGTTGAAGGCGTTGGAGTGCATGCCGGAATTAGCAGAGGGCGGCTGGTTGGTGATCTGCTGCTGCCATGCGCTGCCCTGCCCCCCTTGCATGGTTCCAGCCATCCCGGCCCCCATGCTGCCCTGCATGCTGTTTGGCATGCGGCTGGCAGCCATCTGCTGCTGCTGTTTTAACATGGCGGCGTTGGGCTGCTGCTGCTGCTGCTGCTGCTGCTTCAGGAGCTGCTGCTGCTGCAGCTGCCTGTAGGAGGTGCTCATGGGACCCAGAGGCTGGCGTTGTAGGTTGGCCTGCTGGCTGGGGTGCAGGTTCATGTTGTTGTAGAGAGAGTCCACACTGGCTCCGCCCCCTCCACCTCCACAGGATGGCAGACTGATGTCAGCCTGACTCACGGCAGTGGCTGAGGCCACACCGCCACCCGGCCCCCCTCCCTGGGCCATTGTCATTCCCATCATGCCTTGGTTCTGGAGGAACATGCGGGATCCTGGGGCGGGGCCTCCCATGGAACCGATGTTGCTCATTGACTGAGAAGAAGCTGAGAAGAAAAAAAAAATCTTTCAATTAGAGACAAAACACAAACATTTTTAAACTATTTGTGCAGCCTAATGGTGCGTTAAGGCCGGGCGCAGTGGCTGCGGTGATTTCCTAGAGCCCTGCAGGGAGTTCACCACTCAGCACATCAGATGCATTGTGTTTACACCTTAGACCGCACCATCAATTTGGAGGAGCTTCAGCTGCGTGAAGCTGAAACCCCACCGATGTGAAAAAAGTTCAGCAAACAGACTGAATGGTTATTGCTGTAGTGTATGTTTGTACATTTTAATTGGTCATTTGTAAAAATCATGTAAGCTACTGTTGTTTCAGAGATTTTAAAGATAGAACCAGAGGTCAACTATCCATCTATAAAGCTCAGAATTTTATATAAATTCTCTACTTTTTCAGGGCTACTTTATTTAGGCTGATTTCTTTTTTAAGATACAATAAACGTAAATTACGGCTGATGGCGTGACTTTCCCAGCAGACATTAGTGCTGCGCTCGTTCCTGATATAAAGTTATTGCATAATATCACGTCATTCCTGTGCTTGTGTTGAATATAACAGCGAGCATGTTTGCCTTATTTAGTGTCTTGAATGACTGTTTAATATTTAGTAATTCAACCAGCCTCCCAGACCCTTGGCCCCTGACAAACCCATAGCATTTCCTGTCAAGGTCCAGCTGTTAGCATTTCACAATAAAAGCACTGGGGTCCACTTTGGTTCATCCAGAGCCATCTGGATGATGGTTGGATTCAGCGGTACCTCCTTGCAAATCTAGGATCTGTGCTGGAAGGGAGGACGATCAACATTGCTTCTTGGACTAAATACATTTTGTTAAGCCACCTAAAAACCTCAAACATACCTTATTTCTACCATTTATTTTTCTTTTTTTTTTTTTTTTTCCATTATTTATCTCTGTATTCCATTTTAAGTGAAAAAAGCTTAACTTACAACCAGCACCTGATTGGCCACTGCTCCTCCCTCCCTCTCTCCATGTGCTGCTGCTGTTTGCCAACACCTCAGCTCCATCTAGTAGCACGAGGTGAGAGCAAAGCAGTGAACACTGAACGATTCCCCATGTTGTTTCTGAAGGAACAAACTTAGCTCTGGCTCTATGGGGGACTATAGTCTGGGTCAGAACCAATATCTTAATGCCTTGCTTATAAGCTACTATGTGACCAGTTACGCTGAGCAATGTCCCAGCAGCTGCTTTCATTTCCCAGTCAAATGAGTGGTGCGCATCATTGGATCTGAACAGGAACCAGATTCTGATGGAGGCAGCTGACTTGGACAGAACCTGGCTTTGGAACAGTTAGATGCTGAGCTTTTTCAATTTGAATATGACCTTTAGAGTGAAACAAATGCTAACACTTAGAGTTTTTTAATATATTAAGCAAATATAAAAGCACACCTACTGAGCTGGAGTCCTGCTGGATCATTTGAATTCTGAAACTGTTCTGATCACAACAATCAGAGCTACACTGGCCCAATCTCTGAAATCTGAATCGAACCAGAACCCAAATATTACATGAAAGCAGCAGAAAGAACCTGATCGCTGTTTCTCTGATATCACCGCCAGCTCTGGGGGCTTTGTTAAAAACATAAGCTTTCAGAACAAGATGAAAGCCATCAGGGTTTACAGGGGTTTACCTTCAGGTGTCGTTTAATTATCCAAATGGAACCGGACCATAACCTCTAACCTGCAGGTAGGAAACTAAGGACAGCACCAACTGCCCATACTTATGTGAATAATCTCACCTGTAAACTGTCCAACTGACTGTTGAGGGAAAGGGTTCTGACTTGCTGGTCCCGTCTGGTCCTGGTACTGTGGGGGAGGTCGGGTCAGATGTCTCTGCAACTGCTGCTTTTCCTGCAAAAACAAGGAAAACAACTTAAATCCTCAATCAGTGTTGGAATTTCAAACTCAGTGAAGATAATACATCACGGAAAGAGAAATACAAAGTCCTGTTTTTGGCCCAGTTTGGACCAAGCTTCGGCTTTTGGACCTTAGTTTCACTGTGATCAAACTCAAGGTCTAAGTGTTCAGATGACAAACTGCTGATCTAGCTCTCGCTTCCCTTTTCATTTAAAAAGCCTGGACTCTGATTCTTGATCTGCATCAAAGAACCAACAGCTCCATCTGCTGTCTGGGATGAGAAGTTTTAAAACGGATAAAAATGGGTCAGGGGTAAAGGTGGTGGGAGAAAATGTTGTACCATTAAATTTAAAAGCACTAATCTAGTGCACTTTGAAGAAAAATCAGGATTCAAGTTACAGGATGGTATAGCATTTATACATCAAGGGTAAAGTTAGTTTTAAATTCTTGTAAGACAGTATTTGAGCCTCTGTGTAAACTTTAATGTAAAAATAGCGTTTTTCTTCATGAAGATATAAGAAAATATGTTTATCAGGATCTGTATCTAACACTACCTTAAAACAATTAAACATTTAATCTGAATATAGTATAGAAAACCCAACAGCAAAGACAGCCTTTTATCAAGCTAGCTTTTGGAAGCTACAAGAAAAAAAATATATATCTGAAAATTAGACATACCTTAACTCCTTAGTTTATTTCTTATATTGCCAATTGTACTCTGAAGTTGGTGGAACAAAAAACATGTAGCTTGATAAAAACAGCAGCAATGCTCCTTTATTCTCATGGTTCCTACAGCATAAGGCAAGTTAAATTCAAGACTTTTTAATGCCACTTGAAATAAAAATTTAAGACCAAATTCACAAGAAACACAAGAAAAACCTGCTTGCTACAACTTAACCCAAAGGTTTATTTTAACTTAAACCACTGCACTAATCTTTCGTATTTTTAAAAACTTCCCATACAGGAAGAAGGCTAAAACACTTAAATGACAGATATATTTTTAACAATTATTTAACTGAATTCACAAACTTTGTTTAAGCAGGGAACAAAACAAATCAGTTTTAAAGCCACAACATAACCAGTGCTAAGTTTTTTTTGCAGCCATTTTTCTTTGTATCGTTTTCTTAGTATGTTTGATTTGGTGATAAGTGGAGGCGTTGCAGAGACAAGGGTGGAACAAAACTGAGAAATACCGGCTGTTTCTCGGTAACTCCATTTTGACGCTTTGTGTTTAGTGCTTTGCATGTGTGACTCTACTGCCTTAATTCCCATCGTTCCGAGCTTGAATGACTTCTTGTACAAAATACACTGAGCCTCATACATGTTCCCTGGTTTTAGCCATGGAGAAAACTCTTGGCTGGATAGCCAATTTTGGTTACATTTACACTTGCTCATATTTTCCAGACAAATAGTTAATGGCGCATCTCCCAAATGTCCACACTGTTATTGGTTCCACTATCGGGACGGAACCAATAATGGCGAGCCGTTATTTTTTTTAAATAAAAACAAATTGTTAGTTTTAACGTTTTATTCAGATTACAAAAATAAATCGTAATAAAAATTATCCTATTTATGATGTTTTAAAAATTAAGACCTACAAAAGACTGATTTAAGACATTTTAATACCAATTAAGGCCTTAGTTTTATTTTGAAGAATTCAATGCCTTTTAAGACTTCTTAAGGACCCGCGGGAACCCTGCTACTACTGATTATGATTAGTGGTACACAGGACCAAGCCTGCTTCCTTTCATCCCTGTACATAATGTGGCCTGCCAGTTTAGTCACTAAAAGCCTCTGAAGCATCTGCCTGAGTCCAAACATCCACATCACCGAGTCCTCACTGTTGTCTGCACAACCCAGTCAGGTAGCAGTGATCATGCTAAGGTTTCAATTAGGGGTGTAAAGAATAATCGTTTTGTATCGATGCATCGATCCAAAAGCCGACGATCCAATGCATGGACACGTCCGCAAGATAATCGATTCATGTTTGTTTTTTTCCTCCGGTCTATTTTTATCCATTTGCTCCTGGGCATAATTCTCCCTCCTGTGCTGCGGTGGCGCTAAACCTATTTTGCCCTCCTAGCTCACTTCCTGGTTATACTCTTACAGCAGTGTGTTGCAGCAAGCTTGACACAGACATTTTTAAATTATGCTCAATATTGAAGCGTGGTCTGAGCTACACACTGTGGGTCTAGATACAGCCGAGGCGGCGAGAAAGTGGGGGCGAGTTTAATGCGACGACAGAGGGACATGAGGGCCAAAAAGAGCGGGGATGCAGTTGGAAAAAGGGTCCCAGCGTTCTCACGCACCTCGCTCTTCTAGCAGGTCAAACTTCACGAGTTGTTTTCCGCAATTTCGGTCATAAAAACAAAACAAGCTGACCTCCTGTCTGCGGCACTGTTTGCGGTCATCTACAATTTGGGAGGAGCAGCAGAGCGTCTCAAGGGGGCGGGGACGTCCACACTCTGGAGCCGAGGTATTGAATTGAACTCATTGCAAGGATTCTGTGCAGTATTTTTTGATGCAACTTTTCTACTTCTGTTATTTGCTGTTGTTTCTAAAAAAAAATGCAAAAATTATCATAATAAAAAAAAAATTTAACCGATTAATCGATTTATCAAATCGAATCGTGATGTATTCTTGAGTATGGAAAATAATCGAATCGTTGGGTCAGGAAATCGATACTGAATCGAATCCCCATGATGGATGTGATTTACACCCCTAGTTTCAATGCTGTAGCTCTAATAGGGGAATGTCTTATTGAAAGCAGGGCTCCAATCAGGTTTATGCACACATTCACAGCTCACTATCAGAGCTACACTTCACCCAACACTTTGTATTATATACAACTGAGGTCATAAATCATTTCTGGGATAAAATCACATTTAATTAATTTAACCAAAGGTGAGGGGTTTTATGTCTGTTTACAGAACTGTTCTCATCTCAATATAAATGTACTGCCCTTTGCTTCAGAATGAGCAGAACCTAAAGATCCAGACCATCCGCCTCAGTGACCACTCCTACTTTATTTCTGGAGAACAGAACCAGAGAGGATCTGAGCCGTACCTGTTCAGCCAGGAGCTGTCTCTGCAGGAATTGCTGCTGCTGTTGTTGTTTCTTCTGCTCCAGAATCTGCTGCTTCATTGCTGCCATCTGGAACGCAGCGTTTCCATGGTTACCTGCCATGGTGTTGGCCCCCTGCGCTGATGCCATGGGGTTGTTGCCAGTGTTAGCGGGGCACGTGACGTGTGGAGGAGCAGAGAAGCTGTTCTGATCCTGTTTGTGACAAATTAAGCGGATTTTAGATTAAATTCAAGTTACAGTTTATTGAATGTAAAAAGGAAGCATGCAGCGAAGGCAGAGGGACAGTGTGTGCGGTTCAGTCTGGATATTTGTCTCCAGTGCAAATGTTGGTTCAGGTGCTGAAAACTTTCCAAACATATCAGCTGGTGTCAGCTGGGATCTTGTTGAAAGCAGACTTCATGACCATAGTTGAGAATAGGAACATCGACCAACCAGTAAATCTAGAGCTTTGCCTTATGGCTCAGCTCTCTTTACCACAACAGACCGGTGCAGAGTCTGCATTACAGCAGCAGCTGTAATCTGTCCGTCATTCTCCCCCCACTCATGAACAGAACCCCAAGATACTGGAACTTCTGCACCTGAGAAACAAACTCTCCTTTTCTGATGGCCTCTGACATCAGGAGCGGATCTAATCCCAGCGACTTTGCACCCTGTGGTGAAAGGGCCCAGAGCTTGGTGTAGGTCTGATGGGCAGAAGGAAACCAGCAGAACCACAACCTCCACAAAAAGCAGAGACCAAATCTGACGGGAAGCCATAAATGCTGGCAGCTCATGTAGTGACAGAGCTGACGGAAGAGGCAACAAATGAAGACCATGATGGCTCTAACTGGGTAAAGGACTGCAGGGCTATGGTTAAGGGGAAGAAAAGTAGCTTTCATGCCATTACAGTAAATGCTGGTCCTGCTTTAGCTTTCTTTCATTACCTGAATGTAGTTCAAGGTGGTTTTCTCCACTTTGGTCCCATTTTAACGAGAATATCTAACCTTTACTAAACAGTGGGAACACTGTGGTACCAGCAGGTAAAGAGACAATCAACAAGTTTTACTAATAGAGACAAACCTGTTCAAAGGTGTTTTAATTTAATAGCTTATAGTGTTTCCAAACATTTACATTTCAGTTTTCAGTTTGAAGGGACTAACAAATCTAGGACAGACCCAATCACAGAGAATGATGATGTTCAGGAAAACCTGAGAGGTACTTGGACACAGGGTCCTATTAGATCCACTGCGTTTAGAGTGTTCAAGGTGTGGCTTATTAGTTTTAACACTGCTTGTATCAACTGTTTGACCTGAAGGTGGTGCTACAGGATGGTTTGGACAATAACTGGACTTTAAATCCCATTCTAGCCTCAGCGGACATGTTCAGCTCCTAGCACGCTGCCGACTCCCTCCTCTGACCCGGGACAATATGGGACGTTTGAGGACACACGCTGTAAAGTGTGGACTGTAGCAGGAACACCAAGTCCCGACTGCTGTGAGGAAAAACACAAACTTCAACAGCAGCGGCTAAATTTAAATACAGAGCAATGAAAGGCTGCTTTGTCATGACGGGCCTCCTCCCCCTCACCAGGCCTTAGCAACCAGCTGCTGACCCACATACACACACAGAACCACATACAGGCCTCCAGGATGTCAGGCGAGGGGCCCGGTGGTTCTGAATGAAAAGCCTTCGCTCCGACTAGCTGTTACTACAGCCACGGGCCAATTGGTTCTCTTCATGTGAAGGGATTGAGCTCCGGTTTTGAGCAGGCGAGGGTCCTTCACCCTCCCCCACCGGTTACTGCACCCTTATGGTCAGCTGGCTGATAGAAGGCTGCTTATGTCACCTCATAGGGAAGAATTTCTAGACCTAAAAATAACACCACCGTTGCTCTGGTTGCTGCTGTTGCATTGCAGTAAGAAGGTATTTGGTTTGAGTCCCAGAGTTGAACTGTATTGTTTTTGCATGAATGGGTTGTCTCTGGGTAACCCTACTTTCTCCTGGTCAAAAACATGTCTACTGGTGTCTGAGTGCCTGGCTGTGTTTCATTTGTGTTGCTTGTGTGTTCAGTATGCATTTGCCAATGCTAACAGCAATGTGATTATTTTGGAGGCTACTTAATTACCTACTATAAGCTGGGTGTTGCTAGATTCCTTTAATGGTATGAAGCAAATGTTTCTCTAACACTGAGGCAGGGACCAGTAAATTGAAGATGAGCTTCAGCCACTGGTCTCCTCCTGGGTTTGGTGTTTAAGTAATAGAGAAATCAATCCAACCATTTTTTTTTTATTAATCAGACTAATGGAGCGGTGTTGTTTACCTGAGGGTGGGGGATATGCTGCCTGAAGTTCATGTTGCTCTTCTGCTGTCGGAGCAGATTCAGCAGGGCCTGCTTGTCCTGGATCTGGTTGTTGGGGGCCCGTGGAGGCCCCGGGCCTGCCTCAAAGTGTGACAGAGGTAAGGTGTTCTTGTAGTTCAGATGCTGTGCAGGGGTCTGAGCACCTTGTGCAGGCGGGTGGCTTAAAGGGGGCCCTGAAGACAGGTGATTCATGATGTTAGGGGACCCAGTGGGCCCCGGCATGTAGCTGCCAGCCCCTGCCTTTGGTGAACCTTTGTTGGGCTGAGCAGGCATCAGTAGCTGCTTTTGACTGCTTGGGTTAAAGTCTGAGGGGTACAGGGTGGGGCTTGTGGGCTTGTCCATACCAAAGGAGCTCTGAGAACCGTTGGCCATCTGAGTCCAGGGTGGGGGGTGACTGTGTGGCCCCTGGTTCGAAAACTTGGCCCCTGGCTGTGGCTGTTTGTGCTGCATCTTGCCCTGGATGTGCTGGGCTCTCTGCTGCTGGGCAGCCAGCTGCTGGAGCTGCTGAGCAGGGGACAAGTCTTTGGATACTGGGGGTCCAGGAGGGAGGAGATGGTTGGGAGGGGGCTGGAGCTGCCTGGGGGGAGGAGCTGGCTGCGACTGGGGGAGAACAGGAGAGGAAGCAGAGGAGGCAGCAACAGGGGAGCTGGTCGGGTGGGGAGGCGGTCCTGAGGAGGTGGACCTGACATGGGGGGAGCCGGTACGAGAGTCCTGCTCAAAGACCGCCGAGGCCGGGGAAAACTCTGCCTTAACCGGACGCAGACTCTGGGATGACTGGCCCCCACCTCCCCCTGCGGCTGCTCCGGCCCCCACAGCTCCACCACCTGCTGGAGTCGGAGCCAGCTCCAGAGGATCTCTCCTGTCCTCAAAGCCGTAGTTCAGGATATCCTGGATGTCCTCGATGGGTACAGAGCAGTTCAGGTCCTCTATCAGCTCCTTCCACTCTTGCTCGTTCAGGTTCAGGTCTAGGAACAGGCCGTTGTTACCGGCTACCGACGGAGGCACGATGGGCAGGATGTCCTCCGGCTCCTGCTTCATCTCTTTCTGACGGAAGTCTGATTCCCCACTGACATCCACCGTCTCCCCTGCAGGTCGGTGTGTCCCGTTGGAGTTCCGATCACCGTGACCCAGTTTTGGGTCCATAGTGGAGCCATTGGCAGGTCCGTTATCTGGACATGCCTTCTTACTGGAAGAGAGGCCATCTGGTAACCCGTTGCTCAGAGGAGAGCCACCACTCTCAATCTTCCTCTTCACCGCATCAAGCTGCAAACAACAAACAGGAGGGTGAATAAAAGTAATAGAACGATCTGAACTTTAAACCCCCCAGTGCTAAACAAGCATAACCTGATCAAAACCCCCGAGAGGTACAGAGACGTATCAAATGTTCTTTCTTCAAGGTTTCCAGCCCAAATAAAAATTTTTAACAAGTGCAAATTCTTGTTCTTCCTTTTGTAACAGAACATAAACGGAAAGATTTGTGAATGAGTCAAAACAGCTCAGGTCAAACTTCATATGTGTGCATTATTACAGCCATGGCTCCTCTTAGTGCACCTCTTGGTGCGTTTAAACATTCTAGCAGCAGGGGGCATTATACCAACCATGGCAACAGATTCTGGATGCAGCATTTAAAGTGTTGAGCATCAGAACAAAAACTAGGATTCAGGTTAGTTTGTGTCAAAGCTACGGCCTTCTTCACCCTTTTATTGACTCATTTAATTGGACAGACAATCACTATTTGCTTTAAGCGGTTAAGAAGGAAAAACTCCCAATCCACAGCTCAACCTGAGGTTCATATTTATCCATAGATGGATGAAGAAATGGACTAGCTGCAGCAGTCAGCCCCACAACTAAAATGTAGATAATGAATTTACTAGAAAGCACACCTGCAAAGCATTCAGTGCTTGCCAACACCTGAACATTCAGATATGAACTCCCTAGAACTGTACTTTCATTTTAGAGAGGAGTAGGTAGGGGGTAGTTCAGTGCTGAGGCTATAAAAGGTGTAGTGTTGCTTAGGAGGAATCAGAGACAAGATGATGATCCGTATCGTTAACATCACAGGATTTGTATCATAAACATGTCCGCAAGCCTGATTTTTTCCGTTTATCCCCAGCCTGTAGGGGAATGGGGGTTCCCAAACGTTTTTGTCCCAAAAATAGCAATGAAACAGAATAGTGATCCCATAAAGTACACAGAATGATTTTATTCTATATTGATGTAAACAACATACACGCAAGGTAATTCTATTCATTTTAAAATATTTTTTAAATTACATTTAATCATTTAATTCCTCATTTCGAACAGTAATTTTCAATATTTAACTGATAATTAATTTAAATTTAAATACATTTATTAAGTTTAGTAAATTTGTTAAGTTTAATAAATTACCTGCGCTTTTTACCTATTAATAGTATATTTAATAATGATGTATTAGACAAATAAATGAATGTTATTTACTTCACTAGAGTAAGATTAATGCATTTTAAGGTAGATCTTGGATCTCTAAACAACTCAGGGATCACATATTGATGGACTACCCACTTCCAATCCCATATGCCGTTTCTCCGCCCCCACTTTCCCTGACCCAGAAGTGCATCTAATACAGTTTTTAAAACAACATCCTCAAATTATCTCTAGCCATGCAGCGTTGTTTCCTCGTCTGCTGCTGTTTTTCATCATGAATACTAACAAACCAGAATCTCATCCAGGTTCCTCTAGTCCAACTCTGATCTGCTGTGTGGTCTTCTGATTTTAGGTTAGACTCAATAAGAACACAAAGGGGCATCTTAGTGCTTAGCTAAGTGCTGGTTTAAACCAGCGTCACCTGAAAACTAGTGAGGATGTCATCCCCACAGCATGACGCCTCCACGCGGTCTTTCTATTTATGTTTATGAAAATACAAAGATCCTCTTTGGACCAGGAAATATTTACAAAAAAATTAAAGATTAAAAAAAAAATAAAGAAAGGGAAAATTGCATTTTTTTCATCCAGTGCACAGCAGCAGGAAGGAAAGGGAAGCATTTAACAGGAACTGGACTAAACTGTCTCTTCTGGAAACAAAGAACACTGAAAAACTTTACACTAATGTGGAAACTAACAACCCCTGTCTCTGCTTGTTTGTGACAACAACAACAACAAAAAAATTATTAAGCCAGTTTAAAACTGTAATTTTAAACCCTCTGTGTGTTTTCAGTAACTAGCCAATATAGAGATATGTTAAGGTTTCTGTGTTTAAGGAACTGGACTTCCTGGTCAACCAGCCCCAGCAGCCCCATGTGGAACTGCTCTCTGATGTATAATTGTGAAACTACATGAGGAGTCCTAAACTTTTCAGATGAACCCTTTAGCACGTTTCTCTTCTTCACCTTTGCAGACAGAGAAACACTCTGGGTGTGGGAGGCAGCCAACACACCAGGCAACTGTTCCTGGCTCAAAACGAATCCCTCCAGAATCGGTCACTGACTCATCCTGATCAGTTTCTGTTGCTTTAGATCTCGTGAGCACCGCCTCAATCTGATCTAACTGGTTTCTGTTCTGAGAAGTAAGCTAATGCTAGAAGGAGGTTAACATAGAGCCCAGTCTTTTAGGTCCAGCAGAAGTTTACATGAAATCAGATGAACCCTGAGCTAGGCCTAGGCAATAAACTGGATTTTTACCTTTATTGCCATTCAACCGGCAACCAATTTCCCATGTCGTTAAAAGTAAAAGTGTCGGCTGGTATTTCCTTCCCCTTTAAAACCCTGAAGCATGTGTGTAAATTCTTGTCTCCACCAATCCAGTCACAAGCGTAAACAAAGAATAGCGGATGAGTCCAGTGAAGAAGCATCTAACACAGCAAAATTACATCAAATAATCCTGTGGAGCCGAGCGAGAGCAGAGGTGAAGCCGAGCATGCAGAGAAGTAGTAAATTGCCCGAAAACTGTCTGGAACTAACTGAACCCAACTGTCTTTGTCCAGTCGGTCAGCAGGACATGAAGGTGCGTGCTGAAGGTAAACTATTCATTTTGATCCAATAAGATGGGTTTCTATATTCAACTGCTGCTGCTCAACCAGAACATCTATGAGGCAGTCAGCTGGTGGGCGTGGGCGGGGCCACGTCTCTGTGTGTACCAGTAAACAGTAAGCTGTGAGAAGAAAGTGACTCACTGAACTTCGCATCTGACTTCTCCTCACATCCTGTGCAGCAGAGAACGGGGCTGCGAGCATCTGAGTCAGAACAGCTTCTCCTGTAGAACCTCTCCTGGTAGAGCTAAATGCTGATGCTAACGCAGCTTTGAAGCAGACCATCCTGGAAAACAGTTTCCAAGGTGGGTCTGCGATCCGGTTCTGCGCTCCGACCCGCAGGCAGCCAGACAGGCCTTCACAATGACTCATCCTGGATTTTCTGGCTCTCGCTCAGCCACAAAAATTCAAAGCATCTGCAGTGTTTGTCCACTGATATTTTTCTCCTGGAAGAATTTCAAACACGTAAAGGGCAGTTTTCTTTGTTCAGACTACTTTGTGTTGCTGGTGTCAGCAGGCTGATTTTCAGCGCATCAGCCGAGGACCAGAGGAGACAATTAAAAGCTTCAACAGCTGTGACTGCTTTCTTCTGTTGAGATGTTATGGTTTTTAATATAGAAAATGTATGAAATGAAAAACCACCAGTGATGGTTTTAGTTTTATAACTGATATGTCAGCCTAAAGGGTCCTGATATCACATCAAACCAGGTGACAAACGCTGAGCAAGAGTTTCCATTTCATCCTAGCTGTGTCTTCATTTGTTTAAAACAAGTTTTTCTGGTTAAACAAAGTCTTTGAGAAGGATAAGTGTGTTCTAGGTGATGGGAATATCACAAGTCCACATCACAACTATTACAAATGCATGAAAACAGTTTGCTTTACCTGCTAATGATCTAACTATCTAGTCACAAGCTTTGGATAATCTGCTTTACTTTCTCCGGGGTCAGTGAATGCATCACAACTTAACAAGCAGTTACCAAGAGGCCTTTAGTGTGGAAGATGTAGCAGTAAGGAGGTGCAGGTGATGGACTGATAGGAGGCAGTGTTTTCCTGAAGGGTTTGGTCATCATTTAAGAGAAACTGAGACAAAGATCTGATGTTTATCATTATGGGAGCAGAAATGACTGCAGACAACGGTTTCCTTTTAATCTTAATTCCAACCTATCAGAAATCATCTTCCCTTTTATTCAGATGAATGATAGATTTTTTTTCTGACAGTTGGGACTGAAGGATTAAAAAGCATCACTTCCGTCACCACCTCCACTTTGCTTTCTTTTAACAGTTGGACATGCTAAGGTGCATGTTTAGTTTGGGCGTGGCTCCAAGCTACAGGTGGGCCCAGGTGACTCCCTCTGCTCGTCAGAAGCTGGAAGAGGAAATGCTCTGTTGGTCATTTGTAACCAGATCAGCCTGTAGTCCCCCTGGGGGGTACAGGGAGCCGCCATGCTGGTTTATTCTCCTTAAGCATATCATCACATTTCTTTATTTTAGGTTATTTATAAACTTCTGACATATTAAAAACTTTATAAAGAGATAATTAAATAAAGCTGGACTGTAAACTATAACAAAATTAATCAAAGCAATTGAAGTAAGAGGGGAATAACACTGAAGTTAAGCTATAACAAAAATTAAATACAACTTTCCCTTTTCCAAATAAATACTGATGGCATTCTGTTTTATTGTCCTGCAAATGTCCATCTCTAGAGTAAGGCTATAGTATTTACTGTGCAGAAACATTTATGTCAGATCATTTTGAGCAAAGACATCTCAATGTACAGCGACGACCTTATAGAGGCGAACTATCCCTTCCTGATGCACCAGAATGAAGACCCAAAGCAGTCTGCAGCGTAGTCATCTCCAGTCATTAATCTAAAAGACTGACGATCATGGATGCTGTTTCTCTTTTTCTCCCCACCTTTCAGACCCTCAAACACTGGGAAATGGATGAAAGCAGTCGACCAATCAGAGCAACAGAAAACTCTCCAAACATCAGCAGGTGTGAGAACCAGAGATGGTTTGAAGGGTTCCTTGTTCAGAGACCTCCAGGTCGGTCCTGCAGATGTTGGACACGTCTCTGCTTCAACACACTGGAGTCAGATAATCAGATTTCTAAAAGGTGCGGGACACTGGACCAAACGGATTAGAGCTGAGGTTTAAACATGTCTGTCTTGCCGTACCTGCCCGCCAATAGATCCAGAGATCCTTTATAATTTAGATATAGAGAAATCCATCTAAACAGAAGAATAATGCCTCTAAAATCTAAATGAAACATGCGCACAGAAAGCTGAAATGGATCCCTGATTTACTCTGGAAAAGTTTCAGGGTGATTAACATCAGTTTAAAAAGCTGATGAAAAATAATAATTTGCTTTTGTATATTTTTTTGGGACCCTTTTCACTTTGGTATCATTTTAAATACTAACAAAGTTACAGTTAAATATGTAGTTTTATTAAATGGAGTTGGAATTTAGAATTTCGTTAAATTTCATTCAAAAAAGTGCAAACGCAAAATACTTTTATTTGATTAAGTGGCCATAAATAAAACAATTCAAAAACCACCACTCTGTTGTTTTTATATTGTCTATAAATAAAAGCATAGCCTTTCTTCCAGGGCTTGGGCAGAACCAAACAATATTTTCATCTTTGGAAGTTTGTGTTGATATATAACCATCAGCGCACTCATAGTTGCAGTAACATGGCTGGTTTCGATTGAGCCTGAGACATGGACATCCAGCGAATCTGGATTTACTGCGCTTGCGTTCATGGATATTCTCCAGTTTCACAGAGCGACATTTTAATTGTGTCTGTCCTCTTGAGTATTTGCAGCACAGAGAGCAGCACATCAGCTTAGCATCATCATCATAAATAAGCCAGTCTGTTGCAAAACAGTCTTCTCAAAAGCGCCATTTTTTTCAATAAACTTTCTGTGGGAGCTTGGAGGCTGTAGACCTCACTCCCCCCTACCCATCATTGTTGTCTTTTAGAAGGCTTGGTTGCTCCAACTATATTCCTCCACAGTTTAATAAGTGGAGGAGCTGTTAAATGACGGGGTGGGGTGTGCTAACTGTACGCCTGTCTATTGGCGTGTGAGGGAAAGTGGCAGAGGTGAGACTTACCAGAAAGGAAGTGACTGAGACGCTGCTGTGGTCCAAACATTTACTCACCTTGTGGCGAATGGGGCTTTGGCATTACCTCGCCAAATGAAAAATTTACTCACATTTCATGAGTAGGAACCATAAATGCAGACTGTCGTCTCTGGATGAATGAAATGCTACTACAGGGCAGTCAAAACATTTGTCGGCTAAACAAGCAGCCACAGCTGCAACAAATGTTAAACGAGCTTCTAATAAAAATGAAACGATGACAGAAACTCCACACTCTCCTGAAGCCACCTCATACAATTTAGAAATCTGTATTAATCAACAGCAAACACCCAGAGGTTCCTAACGTGGTCCTTAGACCAGTCAGAGGGATGCCAATGATTCAGATCATGGGCAGGTCTGTAGCTGGAATATCTACCGAGCCACAGCCAGCCACAACAAAGACTGAAGGTCAGCAGAGAGGCACAGCATATTTGACTCCTTCCTTGGGTTTCCCTGCTATGAGAAGCTGTCTGTAGCATAACTCCTGACACCGCAAAAGTCTTTTTGCTCATGTCTCACCTACAGCTTCAACTAACAATTATTTTGCAAATCGATTAATCGGTCCATTAATTTTTCAGTTAATCGATTAATAATCTGACCCCTTGTCTTCATCTCACTTTATAAGATCCTATGGACCCAAACAGGGTTAAGAAATACAGCGGAAATGAGATAAAATCTTCAGAGAAATGACACAATGTTTGCAGCAAGAAGCTGCACTTCTTGGGTTTTGTTGTAAAGAGGGTGAGCTCTTCTGTCATCATCTGCTGCATTGGAGCAAATGACTTGTGAGAGAGAGAGAAAAAAAAAAGGAGGTTAAGAGGTTAAAAAAAGAGCTTAACAGGCTAATAAAGAAGTTCAGCTCTGTTCAAGGAAGTTCTCTAGAACCTCTGGAGATAATTTCACAAGGAGGAAGAATTCATAAAATGAAGAACAGTTTGAATAAACGTGAGCATCCTGTTCAGAAGATTGTTAAATAACCGTCTTCAGTCAAAGACTTCTTAAGATCAGGTGCAGGTCAGATCACTACAGAATAATCTGTCTACAGCTATCAACAACTAGTTGGAGAAAAAAAATAAATAAATACTACATGAGATACGACACTCTATTACCATTTGGGATCAATAAAGTATTTTCAAACCTAACGTAACTTCCATAGAGTGGGTATGATATGAGGAAGCAGCGCTCCAAAAGACACAAAACAAGCTGTATAGAACAGTCTAAAGCAATAGCAGGACCAGATGGGTCCTGATCCGTTTGTGAGTTCACATGTGGATGGAGGTTTATATCATGAAAACATTAGGTCTGAAACAACCACAGTATGTCATGTTGAAAGGGCAGACGGCTTATTTCTGTCAGATGCTACAGCAACTGCCTGATAACACCTCTCCTCTGGTGATGAAACACTCCTAGTTTTGTCAGGGTTACCATGACCCAATGCCTTATTCTGTTACTCAGAGGTGGACTGGCCATTGAGATTTTATTATAATAAACCATCTATACCATTTGTGCTTTTTACTTGTTGAGTGGGTGTCCTGTTTAGCTTAGAGTAGTAGAAACAGTCCAGGAAAGGAGTAGATGTGGAGTGCATTAAAAAAAAAAAGAAAGCTTCCTTCAAAGTGATGCAAGAATAAGGCTGGAGGGCAAGCAGGACATTAAACTAGAGGAGAAAACACCATCATAGTCCATACACCTCAACTAGCTTAAAATGGAAGCTAGTTCCAGTATAAGGAACTCGAAAAGACAAGAAAATAAATAAATCACTTAATGAAGGAACTGATTCAAGCTTTTAAAATGATCATTGTTAATGCTAGTCCTAGAATACGTCTTTTATATAATTTTAATAAACCACTACAAAACCAGATAAAAATCTTACAAAATATATTTAGTGATATGAATATTTTCCAACGCCTTAGGATGACTTAATGAATTAAGCTGTAAGGAGTGTTCTGAGCACCACATCTATGGTCATTCAGAGCTGCATCACCAAACATGCATCTGGATGAGATTTGCTACACCCCCATAGTGAGATACCACAGGCGAAACGACTGCATTTCAGGAAATATAAGGAAATATAACAAACTAAGGTCAAGCAAAATAATAAATATTGTAAATGAAGTGATTAGTAACTGTAACCAATTATTTTTCCCTGAACGAGCAGAACATTGAACTGCATTTACACAGAGATAAATGCAAATAAAATGACTCCAGCTTCTCTTCTTGCATAGGTGTAAATAGATTCCTTCCACTTTTAAAATCAGACCCTGAACCATCAGTGGTAAAGAAACTTAAACCCTGGAATCAAAGCCTGTTTGGATCTGGATTATTTCATAAATATCCAATGATCTATTTGCATTCCTCCTCTACAGGATCTGATGTTCACTTATTGTGAACCAGTGTGATGGACGTGATGCTTTCCTGAAGTGGGGACTTACCACTGGCCGGTTGCTGTTCCGGTTCTGCTCCGCCGGCGTCCCTCCGCTCTCCGCGCCGCCTCCCGGCGCTCTCTGGGCGTCCTGGTCTACGCTTGGCTGCGGCTGCCGGTGCTTGCTGGCCCGCTTGGCTTTGTTCTGGAGCAATCGCTGGTGCAGGTTGTTGGTTTGCTGCCGTTCCAGCTCCAGCCGCTCGATTGCTGCGCCCTCGTAGCGGGTTTCGCAGGTGTTGTGATGCTGCCGGAACTGCTCGATCCGTCGGCGGAGCCGCTCCATCACCGCGCTGTGTCGCGTTGTAACAAAATCCGCCATCATCAATAAAGACCTGCAGTGAACTCCCGCCTCAGGTTTCGTCCATAAAATGCTGATTATGGCTCTCTGTCACTCTGGGCGTCTATACACCCCCCTGGCCCTTTACAAAGACTCCTGTGCTGGCTCCATGGAGGCGACCTTTGTCTCGCTAACGGCCTTCAGTCACAGCGGCACTCACTGCCGGAGAGGAAAAGTAAGGTTTCTGGGTAAAATACCATTCAGCCTCCTGATTTCAAATTCTAAACATCAGCTCATTTAACTGGCTGAGCTACTGGAGCCACGTTCGGTTTAGCTTATACTAAAACCTGTTGCTGTCTGGATAAAAAAAAAAAAAAAAAAAAAAACATTTTTAAAACAGTCGCCACCAAAGTAACTCTCCGATCAGCTACGAAAACTTAGCACATTCCTGCACTCTAAATCAAAGCCAAACTTTGGAAAAAATCCAACAAGACTTGGTCTGTTTTAAATCCGGGAAGCAGCAGCCTCTTTTTGAACACAAGGTTCTGGATTTGAGCTGGTTTTCCATCCGCTGGGAGCGACATAACTGCTCACCAACTTCCCTCAAACTTTTATTTTGAGACGGGAGTTAGCTTTGGTTAGCGAGTAGGAGCTAGCTACGACACCAAAGTTGGCTTCCGTTTCGCAGTAAAGGGCTATTTTGCTGTTTTTAAAGGACCCTTAAGTAACTTTAATACATTTTAGGTCACAATTCAGAGAGATAAAAGCTAGACCAAATTACTCCACATTCCCTAGAGACGGTTGAACTCATTAATTAGTTTTTATTTAAGGAAAACTTCAATTTATCTATCACAGAAAGCTTGACAAACCACAAAATTAGCTTTGATCGAAATGTCTTCAGTGTAAAATAATGTTATTGTGCTTTTTCATTTTAGACCCTATGGTTAAAAGGCAACACCACCAACTAATACGATTACCTACTAAAACAACTTTAAATACGCCCTTATAAAGTTATAGAACACAACATACTTAATTTAAAACAGGTCTAGAAAAATCTAGTTAAGGTTTGACCCTTATACACACTGTTAACTGTTAAGTAGTCGTAACCAAATTCATTTTCCCTTTAAAACTGTAACTTAGCCTCTGCTTTGAGCTACCAACCGGATGCCAACTTCAACATCGTAAGCTAACGCTGAATCAAACTTAAAACTTAAAAAAAAAAAATCCAGAATTCGTAATATGATAAGTACTAAGACTGTCACTTCCAAAATACTGAAATTTGAGTTTAGGATTCAATACACTTACTGTGAAAATGTAGCAGCCCGTTTTCCCTACAGCATCTGTCCGGTGAACAGCAGCTGATTCTCCGCCTCCCTGTAGCCGTTAGCCGCTGTGTTTTGGGTCGACGGGCCTGAAACATTTAAATAAAGGCTCATACTTTAACTAAGTTTAAATCAACACGGCGGACAATCCTTCTTCTCCGCGGCCAAGCCAACGTCGGGAAGAAAACCGTTCAATGCGAACCAGGACTTAGGTTAACTTCGTCCCTCTTCCCCGCTTCTATTGTTTCCCAGCGAACTAGCAGCTCCGGCCATATTGGAAACTTTCTATTTTATTCCATCAGAAAAGAATGTTCCTGCTGGTCGCCATTGACTGACAGTCACAACAGCCAATAGAAACCGGACATTGTCCCATTCCTAACTGAAAGCTCAAAACAACCAATCAGGCTCGAGTACATTTGAGTGCCACATAATGGAGCCAATCACAGCACATCTGGGTGTGACTTTTACAAGAAATATTTTTTTAAATTGAGAAAATATTACATTTTACTACTGGTGGCTAGCTGAGTAGATGAAAGCATACATCTTAGATGTTAAAACATGAAAGAGTTCAAAAGTATAACAATATTTCTATATATTTTATTTCTGTAGTGTTTTATATGTGGACAAATCTATTCTTTTTTCATTTGTAACACAGTGAATAATGCCCAGATAAAGACACAGGATAAGTCTCATAGTGTGCATAATGTATATTATAGCTGCATTAAATTAAATGTGAACAAATGGTTAAATTATGCAGATTGTGTGTGAATCAGAAATGCCTATTAACTATCCCAAGAAAAAAACTGGAGGCTTTAAACAGTTTCCATTCAGCCTTTTTTTTTATTCATCAAAACATTTTTGCTGTGTGTCTATGCACAGCAACATCCAGCTCCATCATCACAGTGTTTCATTCAAAGATGGAGCTTTCTACAACCAGTCGGTCCAGGACCATGGGAGGAATATGACGCAGCAGATACAGTGTTAGTTTAAAGTCAGAGACCCAACCCACCCATCAGACCACGGGGGGGACGAAGACGAGGAAGCTCGGTTTGAAGCCAATCACAGGACGCAAACATTGAAGGACCAGCCGATCCCAGCAGACGTTCAGAAACAGGCTTTCAGTGAGGATTCAGACGAACCAGTAGCGATCGCAGTTTGGCTGTGAACCCTCCTCTCCACATTAAACAACCAGCAACAAAAGCAGTCTACTGAGGCGACCCCGCTCAGGATTGATCGGAGGATCAACCACTATCTGCATCATCTTGTGGAAAAAAATAATACAAATTATATCTTTAAAACAAAAACACAACTAAACAATCTAAAAACCAAACACAAGAAGATGCGAAATTAAATTAGATAATTGCTCCATGTTACCTACTGGTTAAAATGAAGGCTGAGGCTCCCAAATATTTTAATTTCTACAAAAAAACTGATAGAAAGCATCAGCAGTTCTCATAAAGCAAATTTGAAGAAAAGGTGAATGTAAGTCTGAATTTTGCAAGGAAGCACTTGGTAAAAAAAAAAAAAAAAAATTAAATGGAGGGAACTGGATGACATCTTTGAATCCAGTCCAACTCACATGAATAAAAAGACAATATTTTTCTATCCACTTATTTTTGAACATCTGATAGCATCAGCTTTACAGATAAAATGATCCACTGAGGACTACCTCACAGAACCTCACTTAGCTAATGTCAGCTGATGTGATGGTGACAGTGCGGTAGTTTACACTTCAAACTGTTTTCAGATAGATAATCAACAACTTTAGTATGGCTCTGTTTTTATTTTCAAAATGTATCAAGTTGTACAGCCACTGGACGAGAGCTAGAGGTTATGTGTAATGTAAAAATAACATTAAAAGGAAGCTCAGGACCAACTGAAGAAAAACCAGCAGCAGTTGATTTTAAGTCGTTTTAGCACCACCTCTGGTAGCTGGTGGTAACTGCAGGTAGTTTACCCCTCCTTGTTCATCCCCTGAAGACCCAATCATGTTCCTGATGGTCAGATTCTTACTGGATTTGACTTTTGCTTCAATAAGGCATTTCTTATTCCATGAAACTAAGGGATATAGAGCACAAAGAGGGTGGGGGTACTGCAAGTAGGAGGTTTATCAGGGCTTTGTGTTCACTCTTGGTCCCTTTTATTGTTTTGAAATGGGGATTAGTCTGTCACTGAGGTGCTGAAGGGAGCAAGTGCTGAATATAGAAGCAGAAACAGACAACCTGCTGCTGGAGACTCAAACTTTCAGGTGTTTCCAGAGCTTCCTGACTGTCTGTCTGACCCAGAGAGCAGAACCCACTGCAGGGTTAACAGGTAGTTACTGCTTTACAGTCAACAGGACACAAACAGACACATGAAAAAAAAGTTGGAGTGTTCCCAGTTAATTTATCCTCAAACACTATGTTCTGGGTTTATTAGGCAGCTAGCAGACTAACTCAGAACCTCTATGAGCTGCTAGTAGTTAGTTGTTTTTAAGTTAGTTATCGGTGGGCTGATTAGCAGCCAGTGTGTTTGTCCAGCAGGACGATGCTTCCTGCTAACTGATCGGTTTGCTGTTTGGTGGAGGAACGTCGACTCCACAGGTTGGAATGATGCAGGACGTTTTAATGAATCTCCGTTGATGTCTTAGAAAAACAAAAACAAGAAAAAAATATCCTTTTCAGTCCTAAACCAGATCTTGTTGGAATCATGATCATTATTCTGTCGGCTCCACTGCTTTTTCCAGATCCATTCAGGCTTTGTGGCCTCGGAGCAGAGGAGGAGGAAGATGACGTGGGGGAGGCGGGAGGAAGGCGTGGGGGGACAAGGATAAAGATTTAGAGATATCAGTCCTTTCTGACCTTCCTGCTCCTGGGAGATCTCCGCAGAATGTCATCTTCTTTCTGTATAGCACAACCAGAGAAGGCATAACATGAAGAACATGGCCAAACCTTTGATTAAAACGTAAAAAAGCAAAGTCTCACAGAAAAAGTGTTCTTTTTGCTTCAACAAAAAGAAAAGCACATGTTTAAAATGCATCTTATCCACAAAGCTAGATATGTAGCTCCTGAGGCGTCCGAGAATTTGGACAGATCCAAAAGAATCGGTCTGATCAGTTAGATGGCTTACAAGGTTACATGCAGATTTGCTCCACTTCACTACAGAGACGAGGAAAACTGAGCTGCTTTTCCAACCCACTGGGTAAAGCTACATACAGTTTTTCTGATTGACTTCACTAAAACAGTAGGGTTAACAGCAATAGCCAAAGTGAGATGCAGTACAGTCATTACACCTGAGGGAGGCACCAAACACAAGGATTTAGACACAAAAAGAAGGATCCCAACAAATATGCAGTGAATCATCTAATGATAAGGACACACACCAATATAAGACAGCCATGTCTATAATTAATCAGCAAAAACATGTAAACTTTCTTGTGATTTGTGGTTTAATTGGTACTTTTGTAAAACTCAGAAGCTAAGTAAGGTACCAGCAAATAAGCTACTGGTTAGCCTAGAGATTTTTTTCCAGATTTCTCCATCTTTAAATCATGTGCTTCCACTGGTGTTAATAAATTTGACATCTCCCATTTTAAGGGCTCCTAACTCCTTTCTGATATCCCCTATAGAATAATAACATGACATTAAGAATTAACTATTTAAACTATTATTTATTCTGATATTAAATATTTTTTCATTAGTTGCTTTTTATTTATCTTTGATTTGAAGAGTCTTGCTTTAATTTCACACATCCACTCAATTACCAGTTTGACCATTTCGGATGGAGCCTTTTTATCTACCAAACCTCCTCACCTCATCTGAGTTGGCTTCCTTCTCTCCATCCTCTCCATCCTCAGCAGCAGCCTCATCTTCATCACTTTTATCTTCTGCAGCTGAAAGAAAAAAATAAGAGTTACAGAAGGTAGCAGGTTGATCCGCTGCAGTTCATCGAGACTGCTTCCCCACCTGATTTGCTATTTTCCTCCTCAGCCTTTTCCTCTTCTTCACCTTCCTCCTCCTTCACATCAGGCTGAGGTTCGTCTGTCTTCTTGTATTCTGCTGCGGTTGCTGGAGTCTTCTTCTTATCCTGCAGAGTGGTTCAAGGAAATCAGTCAGAGAAAGGGCTAACAGGGCGGACATGAAGAACCCTTCTCCCGCTACAACAACACATCCAGCGCTAGAGCTAAAGCAGCACAGCGACGCCACATGAAGCTATTCTAACAGCAGGAGTCACCGGGTGGGAGCGTCCGGCTTCTTTCAGCTCTTCCTGTAAGTTGGTAAGACTCAGCGCACCCTGAGCCGACCCCGATGACCTCTGTGGACAATCCACCAGCAGAACATTAACCAGTAGGGATTGTCACAGAGCCCTTAGCTATCATTGTTACATTACAGGATTGAGGCTGTTTGAAGCCAGTTTATCTTCCTAATGTGCTGGTTTTAGCCTGTTTAATGTAATCTGACACATTATGGGAAATATCAAGAAGAATAAACCTGCTAAAAGGCTGGATTCATCTCTGCACGTTTGTGTTTCACTGTTAAGTCTGTGAACTGGTTACCTTTCCTGTGCAGCAGAAGACGACGATGAGGACGAGCGGCAGGGCCACAGTGAGGACGTAGACTATCCACAGCCAGGGACGCTCCTCTGCGGCGGTCAGCATCTGAGCTGCCAGACCAGGCTGTAAAGAAACCCAAATTAAACCCCATGGATGGATTTATTTTAAAACGGACATTTGCCTTTATGCAGCAACAGCGAGCCATTTACATTCAATTCAATAATGCTCTATTAGGGAATTTAAATGGCTTAGAAGAAACTGTACTTATCTACAAACAAGATGAAAAGCTTTTATTTTGGTCTGTTTCTATTCATATAAAAGGGAAACCTCACACCACACAGTATTTTATTATGATTTTATTGGAAGTTTTATGAAGATTGAATCCAGGATAATCAGAAAACTGATTAGGGGCAGCAGAAGACCTGAGAATGGGGCAGAGGTTCAGCTTTCAGCAATGTACAATGGATGGTTTAGGTCACCACTGATTCTGAAGGTGGATTGGTCTAGTCAAAGTCCTGCCATAATTCTATCCAAGAATCTGGGGGAAAAGCCTGGAGATTTTCAAAGTTGGGGGAGTAAAACCCCAGAAAACCTGCAGCCCTAAGAGATTCTGACTCATTGGGGGCTGAATGTCTGAAATTGTTTTTTGAAATTTGTTAAATTGGAGAGGAATGGAGGGACTTTAAGCAGCTCTGTTCTACCTCTGGATTTTTTTGTGTGTGGTTGACCTGAACTCACCTCAGCAGCACCCTCTGCTGCCTTCTTCAACCCCCAGCCATCAGCAGCCCAGCGGTCGGCCGTGTTGCGGTCGTTGGTGATGAAAAAGTTGTCAAAGAAAATGTCGGAGGTCATAGACCAGAGCTCCAGTCCCAGGGCGCTGAACGGCGTCATCTTGAACGGCTGCAGGTCCTCAAAGTAATCTGGGTTGGGGATCTTCCTCGGCTTCCAGATGCCCTAGAACCAGGTGTCAGATGTTGAATGTGTGGCCATAACCAGACAGAGTAGTCGTCCTCCAAGCACAGACTTACCTGGTAGTTAGGGTTGTCAATCATTGGGGGCTTCCACTTGCCCTTGTAGTTGGGGTTGTCGATCATTGGCCGTTTCCAGGGGCCGCAGCCGGGGGCGCTCTCACAGGCGGGGTTGGGGACCTGGGGAGCTTCCCATTCTCCATCCATGTCCTCATCCCTGCAGGAGAGAAATGAGCATCACAGCCGAACAGCAGAGCACATGCTGGAGGCTGGCAGTCGGTATCGCCATAGTGACTCACCAGTCATCGGGTTTGATGGCGTCGGGGTCTCCGATGTACTCGGGCTCGTCGTCCAGCCAACCATCTGGTTTGACTGCGTCTTCATCAGGAATCTGAGCGGGAGCATCTTCATCCCTGCAGAGAAAAACATCAATTAAACCATTATCAGAAATTTAGAAGGGGAATGTTTTTGGTCCTTAAAGTATTTTAAAGTATTTCCCAGAGAGGAGAGTCTTTATAGGTGTGAAAAAGACCTGTAAGACGCAGAAACTGAAACCTCAGATTATCAAGCCACGTGACCCTTAACTTAAAAAAGTTAATGCAATAATTGCATTTCTTATATACCTAATAAAATCCGGGAAAGCAGGAACCTTTGTACCGACTGTTTCTTCTACACCCATAAATTTGACACACAAGTAGCACCACAGGAGTTGGTCCACTGGCTTAAAAACCATCACAGCTGAAAGGGAATACAAGTTCTGCAGCGAGGTGTACCTAACAAATACCTAAAATTGGTATGAACATCTAAGCTTTAGTGGGCTTGCATCCGGGGATGCCATAAAAAGCAATAAATATGTGGGCATTGATGGAAGTTAAGAAGGCTCTAGGACCAGAAACAGGGATCATTTATGAGAGTTACTGGCTTAATGAGAAATAGTAGCCTCAGTGAGCTAAATGTTTTTGTTTCTACTAAATGCTGCACATTGAGCAGCAATTGTTAAGCCTCTAAAGGAAATGCTGAGCTAAACTGTCATAGCTCTAAGTATTAAAAATAAAACTATCTTCTGTTAACAGGCAATATTGTTTGACTTGACTATATATTCATACAAAATTTGGTGGAAGGAATCATGGTGTAACTAATGATTATATACTGATCACATTTTATAGAAGTTGTTTTTCCACAGATATCGTATAAAATATGGCTTTCTTTAAAAAAAGTAAGGACTGAAAATGTGTTGTTGTACATGTATAATTCGAAGGGAAAAGGGTCTGAACCAAAGAGGGGGTTTATTTTGTCCCTTATATGGTTTTCAGTTAAGATATAATTATTGTGGAGTAATTAATAAAAATCTGAATCCAGTACAACTACTTCTCTTAACCTTCTTAGTTTTAATGACCCTTAAAAAAAGGTTAACCACATTTACTGAAGTTAATCTAATAATTTTAACCCAACCCAGAGCGGGATAACCACAGTAACCATTAGAGAAGAAGAAAACAGTGGGTTCTGACCAGTCTTCAGGTTTTACGGCGTCGGGGTCCTGGATCTTTGGCCTCTCGTCCCAGTCCTCCGGTTTGTGGTCGTTGGGGTCCTCAATCTCAGCGGGGGGGTTCACAGCAGGCGTCACGTCCGTCAGCAGATTGCCGCTGTTCACCACCGTCTGATCCACCAGAACTTCAAAGCTGTTGTCGCTGTTCACCACTTTGGGGCATCAGGAATGACAGGAAAGTTATAGATTCGTTCTTGTGTGTGTTTTTGATGGTGGGGGAGGTTTGTGTGTGTGTGTGGCCTTACCCAAAGTGTACAGGTGAGTCTTTTTGTCTGTGAAGTAGGACCGCAGGTCAGCGTCTGGTTTCTTGGCATGCTTCTCTTCGTATTCGCCGGTTTTGGGATTTTTGTGCCTGAAGATGAAGTGCAGCTTATAATCTTCTCCACATTTGTCTGGTCCAAACATGATAGTGTACGGAGTCTTATCCACAAACTGATCCTGCAGGAAAGCAGCAGTTTAATCAAACCAAAACTGGTTTTGTCATTTCTTCCCGGGTGTTGGTAAATTAACCTAAAGTTGGTGTACTGACCAGGTCCAGATCAGGAGTCTCACTCAGCAGCTTGACGTAGGCGCCACCGCAGTCGATCCCAGACTGGAAGTTCACTTCATACCTGATCAAACAGAGCAAAACCTCAGGATTTGGTTGAGATATACAGATAAGCCACCAACTAATACATCAGGAGGAAGCTGCAGAACTTTGGTTCAGATAGGCTCTTACTGGATGATGAGGGGCATGGCGTCGAAGGCGAAAGGTCGCAGCAGATGTGCAGAGATGGCGTGATGTTTGGCTCGGGACTTCAGGACCAGACCTTTATCACCTGGGAGCTTACTGTCCTTCATCTCTTCTACTGCCCATTTACCTGTTCATACAACATCATCAACATCATCATCAAGAAATCTACCAGAGGTTGAAACATCCACATGTCTGTAAATTACTTTGACAGGAATGAAATTTGATCCAATAGCAGCTGAGGTTCAGAAAAACACAACACGTTTTATACACAAAACTTAGACCAGTTTAGTGTAAACGTAGAATTTAACTAAACTAAAGAGAAAACTAAGTTTCAAAAGCAAAGTTTCATAAAATAAAAACGGACGAAAGCCAAACTAGAGACAAATCATTGACCTTCAGTTAGACTTCAGATAGTTTAAGCTAATCAGAGGAAAAAAATCCAACAAGTCCTGAAGAAATGTATCAACACCTACCATCATATTTTGCTATTTCTTCATCTGCATCATCCTTCTTGGCCTTGGACAGAACCCACCTGAAACCAACCAGCAGACCTAATCAGTGAGAGCTGTAGTGTGGATCAGAGCCAGATTAGAATCATCCTGCTTCTACGCCACCTTCTCCACACCAAGATACATTCAAATGGTTCTCTTAGCTAAAACATGCTAGCAGAACCAAAACTCATCAGGATCAGTTCTGCTCTAAAGCTGATCTCCAAGGTCCAAACTGGCTCAGATCAGACCCACCAATCCGAACCATGTTGAATGTTTTAAGTCTGTCCAGAACCAACTACATTAAATAATCTCAGGTGTGTGTCTGTCCTCACCCGTCCAGGGTCCCCCGGTCAAAGGACTCTGCGAAGAAGTGTTCCCCCATTGGTTCTGGAGCCCTGTAGGTCACCTGAACAAAGAAAGGAATCACCTGTTCATTAGAGTGCTGAAAAAAAAAGAAAAAAAACATTCAGCTACAGCTGATGAACAATTGTCAGAATGACATTCAGGTCTGATGCAGAGTGAACATATCAGCGCAGGTCAGTGGATCAGTAGGTCACTTTAGGTTCTGTTATCAGACTGAATGGACTGGTTAATGTGTGACAGCTGCTTCCAGGGAAGTTCTCCCAACAAAGCGCTGATAAAAGCACTTCTTATTCCTACAGATAACAGGATTATAACCACATCCCTGAAAACATCCTGAAAGAGATCCTGATAGAAGCTAAAGTCTGTCCAATCAGCAGCCAGCAGGCGGCTCACCTTTGGTGCAGCAGTTTTTGTTGCAGGCGGGGTTTCATCCTGTTCGTCTCCCTCTAGCTCCTCCTCATCGTCCTCGGTTCCAGCCAACCCCAGATCCAGGTCGTCCTCTACGTCCACGTCCTCATCCAGATCCTGGGCCTGACAGACAGGGACCAGGCTGAGGCAGAGGAGGCCTGCCGCCAGAAGAACGAACAACAGGACCTTCTGATGCATAGTCTGCCAAGACAGAAGATTGAACTGGGCTCAGAAATACACAAAAAACATACCACACAACCAGGCTGCGGGTCCATCACCACGGAGACCAACCTGCACCCATAGGACAGATCACCTGAGCTCTTTTAGCCTTAATGAGATTACACCCAATGGGATTACTGCAGCGGCCCATAGATGATTTACTGCAGCACACAGCAGGCTAAAGAGGCTCATATTTACCCACTCATCAACTGCCACCTGTGTTTACAGCCATTTAACAGCATCTGTATCTGCAGTGTGTATTTTTTTTATATAACCTGCAGAAATCCTCTCAGGGGCTTTTTAACAATAATAACAAGAGCTGAGAGCGAATCTGTGTCAACTGTTTAATATTTTGATGTTAATGCATGACCCTAGAGCTGTATAGATCCCATTTCTGAAGATAACCCGATTACCTCTTCTGTTTATTGTACTAGTGAATATGTTCATTCAGGTCCCAGCACCTCTCAAGACTGCAGCCTGGTTGATCCGAATCAGGCAGTCAGGGTAACAGCAGTTAAGAGTCATTTTTACCCATTCCCACACAGTGGATCCCGACAAGGCGATATCAACACTGGATCTCAATTATGGACTCTGACATGCAGAAAGTCTGGGCCATCATTGTAGGCAGGCCTGTTCACTGAATAAAACAGGAACGTCTGTAGAGAGCCTGGGGGTCCAAATCTGACTTGTTTTCTTTTATAGAGGGATGGTATTATAGTTACTGATCAGATAATTTCCTCCTCCATAGACAGCTGATTCTCTGACTCAGGACCAGAGACTTTTTGGAAAGCCCATTCAACAATATCAATGATCCCACGATGCGCTGCAGAACATAGATCCTCTTAATAACTTAAAACTAAGAGTGAATTAAATATCTGCTGGATGACCTGTTTAATGTGACATGGTAAATACACCCGTCAGGATCTGGTTCTAGCAGCAGCACTGATGCCCTTTAGGTAGAAAAGCCTTAAACTCCTCAGCTTATAGTTCTATACTGAACTGAACAGGTGGAAAACAAACTCCCCTCAGGCTGGAAGAGGAAGAATCCACACATGAACATAATTTCTACATAAACAGCTGAAGTTCTTTTAAAGAAAAGTAGCATCACGTTTTCACATCAGTGAAAAAGTTTCAGTCGATCCAAGAAACCGGAACTGAGGCCTGCATGCCTTCATTAATAAACCTTGATTCTTTGCCATCCAGAAAACATGCTGAACCAGGCATATTAGCAGCCATACCTGATTTTCCTGCAGCTCACTAATAAGATTCGAGCCGCCTTCTGATTGGCTGATAAAACAGCCGTCTAATCCTGATCAGTGGAGTGAAACCAGCTGAAGTTGCTGTTATCTACCCAGACTGACGGCACCGTTGGAGCCTGGAGTTCACTGTTAATCAGATATTAGAGCCAGATCAGCCTGCAGGACATCTGTTGCTCCTCACATCACTGTCTAACTGGAGCCTAAATGGTTTCTAACTGGGTTTATGTGGAAGTTTATCTCATCACAGGATCAGTAACAGTGGAGGGCCACTGTCCAGACCAGAAACGGAACAGGAGGTTCACCACATTTTCTGCTGATGGTTCATAAACAAGTCTTGAGGATTAGTTCATAGGCAGTTAAATGAGACACCCCACCAGTTAACTTCTCACCCAGCAAGTAAGACAGGTTACTGTTTAAACTGAAGTCAACGGCATCATAGTTTCCTTCCCGAGATCTGTTACAATGCTACTTTACTGGAATAACTTAATATCAGATGGATCTTCTACTTTACTTCCACTTAGACAGAGCTCAGAAATGACATTACCCACTGGGTCACAAACGGGGACAGAGCAACAATGAGCCAAATTCTGACAAATCTATTGACAGGCTGCAATAATACTTTTACAGCTTTGATATGCATTACAGTCTATTATATTTTATATATATATTAGGGTTGTCAAAAGTATCGAAACTCAAAAAAGTATTGACACTGAAACGTTGTATTCGGATACAACACTCATTTTCAAAAGTATTGATACAGAGCTACCACCAGTGGCACCTAAGCAGTCATTCATCTAAAGTGCAGAATAGAGGAAAATGCACTTTCAGAACACTGTGTGATTGAATAATTCTGTGCACTTTTCAGTTTCAGACTTTTTTTTGTAACAGGTGCAGCTGCTGAGAATTACTTTTGTTTCTTAACCGGTTTGGCTAGTGTCATTGTTATGTGTGCAAAGCATAGCCAAGGAAGGAACACTTAATTTTAATTTTATAAGTTTTTTATCAAGCTTGCTTAATATTGTGCACAGCATACAACCTTTATTGTGTTTATTTATTGCATTTTATTTATTAATGAAAATATTTCTGTAGAATTTTGGAGTCTGTTTTTATCCTGGTGGCATCGAAAATGGTATCGAGTATCGAATATTTTCCTTAGTATCGGTATCGAGTTGAAAAATTTAGTATCGTGACAACCCTAATATATATATATATATATATATATATATATATATATATTAGGGTTGTCACCATTCAGCTCTAGTTTCTAACCAACTCCCATTTAAGGTCACAAAGTCCTCTGCAGATAAAAAGGACAGGATATGTTTAAACATCAACCATGGGGAGCTGTTAACCTGTCAGCTCATCTTCCGTGCAGTTCCAATGAGCAGCAGACAGGCAAAAAAAGAACCACGTCACTTTGGCATGGAGATAGTCTGGGTTTATTTTTTTTCAGATGCATCAGGAATCAAATTCCCTCCATTTAATAGAAAAGGGGACAATTATACCAACCAGCAGCCATCAGAGCCACAACAGTTTCACTAAAGTGTTTCGTGATCAAACAAGCAGCAGATCTGAGAAATGCAGCAAAGCTAGAGAAGCTTCTGTTGCAGGTCCAACTGGAAATTTTCAGGAACAAAAAAAACCAATAGGACCAAAGACAGGACCCGGACAACTAACAGAACCAAAACAACAGAACAGGGAATGCCTTCATTACCACTTCCAGAAAAAAACAAAAAGTTAAAGACGGTCAAATGATATCAATTGATTGAATGATATTGATTTTCTCTCAAAATGAAGTGTGGATTTCCCTTTCCTGTTTGCAGCTTCCAATAACGGAAATTTTGTCAAAATAAATCAATTAATTTTAAAAAGTTAAATAGAACTTTTGTTTTATTCTGATGTAATAAGCTTGACCAGTCAGCTGGAAAAAGGTTGATGACAGATGATAACATCTGAGGATATAAAAGGGCCTGATTATCATCACCCTCCTGTTAGACCCATTACATTTTAGACTAGATTAAAAGATACCTTTAAAAGGGGGAGAATAGAAAAAACAGTGAGGAAACTTTTCTGTGGGACATCTAACAGGTGAAAGAAAATTCAGGTCAATTGAAAACCAAGTATGAACAGGTAGCTGGTATACAGTTTTAAACCACTAAGGGCCCTGGTGTGTAGCCATCAGCTCCTTCAGCTCATCTGCAGCTACAGTATAGCAACCCTCCCCCCCCCCAGGGCATCCCTATATAGCTGCTTGTTCTGCAGGTATACTTCAGCTGCTACAGGAAGAAGGTCGCCCTGTGTACAGGACGTGCTTTCAGGCAATACTTCTAATATGTTAGCACATCTGCTACCCATCACTATAACTGATCAATTCAAGGTGATGTTCATGTCAACCTCAAATGAACAAGCTAGCATTAGTAGTAGCATTAGTAGTGAGACAAACACTACCAACATGTTAATGAAGCAGAGAGACTGCTGATCACGTTGGTTGCCGGATGGTTCATAGGGATGTTCCAATACAACTTTTTTCATTTCCAATACGATATCAATACTGCAGTAAGTGCAGTGTGATACTAATGAAGTCCATGCAACTAATTGCATTTGCAATAGTATCACAACTAAATAAAAAGCTATTTTCAAATCACAGAGGCACTTTTTTTTTTTTTTGGTAATATTATATTTACCAAGATTAAGTAGCTAAAACTTCCCAGTCTTTTAGGTGGCTGTAAAGACCGACGTACACTGTGCGATTTTCAGGGCGATTTTCCAGTCGTGCGAGAATCTTTAAATCGGGCCGACTTTGAGCCTGATCGTGCGTCATGAGTCGTCTAGTGTACAGGGGGTTACGAGCGGTGATCAGCCTCTCACGACCACCTCCTGATCAGGAATCGTGAGGTCGGGAGAATATCAAACATTTTAGATTTTCTCCCGAATGTCGTGGGCAAATGGCTCAGGGGGCATACGCAAAGAAGGATTCTTCTTTTTCTTCTTCCTCTCAATAAAACACAGCAGCGTTGCAGGGATGCAATGAGTGAAATGCAGTTCTGTCAGTAAAATTGACAGACCTTAGTAGCCACGTTTGCTCAGCCATTTCTTTTTTTCCAAATACGTCGTTGCCTTTTCTTTTTAGGATTTTCAGCACAAAATTGCACAAATTGCCAAGGCAGCGCGGTACACTATAGTGAGGTTAATATCTCTCTTCTATTTGTTTGGCTTCAGGATAGAGAGCTACAGAGCAGCTCCATCTCACTGCGGCAGCTGAGTCCGACGTGGATTTTAGTCATACAATGTGAGCAGGTAGATCGCATCAGAGCATCGGGCCGAACATAGATCGTGAGCTGTGAGCAGTAGCTGCGTGCAACGACAAAAATAAATAAACATAAATCGCACAGTGTACGCCCGGCTTAATGCACTTAAAGTGGCTTTGCAACCACATAGAAGGGAAGAGAGAGATGCAGCTAGAATGCAGATTCAAGCATGCAAGTAGAACTTAGCACTTTTTCCACAAAGGGTTACAGTTACGTCCTGCAACAATAGACTCTGGTCTTTAAGATCATGAAAAAATTAACTGATCAAATACAATATATTCCGATATTGGACCGATTTCTGATAGCAATATCGGATCATCCCTTTGTGTATTTGTTTAGTGTTTAGTGAAAGGCCAGAGTATCGAACCGCTGCAGCTTTGCACTTTGTCTCCTCTTGTGAATTATATTTAACATGTACATAAAAAAACAATAAAATGACCAAGTATACACTGCTTTGTCTTAACCTGTACACATGTACCATAAGAGAAACCATAATTTCTGCCAGCCATATTTCAGAATAAAGCAATTTATGGCTACCCTCATTCCTCCATGATTGGCTCAGGAACCAGGAAGTAAACACAAGCTACACACTAGTTTCAGAATGTAACTGTAGCGGGACTTAAACATTGCTGATTGAGAGGACCGATTGATTATAAGAAATGTAATTTCCATCCAGGAGAAAAATCAGAATATTTTGGTTAATTTCACAGTAAATGTCTCATTTACTGCTCTTTTAAGGTTATAACATCAGAATATCATATGAGACAATGCCTAATTCAAAAAGAACAATTGGGAAGTGCAATTTACTGCAAGGGAACTACAGCAGGCGTGGCTTTCTCCACTCTGGCATCTGATTGGTCAGACAGTACTCTAGCAGTGGGAGACACCCTAGGTGTAGGGAGACAGAAATGCCTACGACTGAATGAAGAAAGTGTTCAAATGCAAACTTTTCACAAAATTATGGTTTTGATAAGATTAATGTGATAAGGAGGTCCTTAAATATTTGGGTTTGTATACATTTTCACTAATCAGGATTGTTTTATTAGCAATGTAAAAATGATGGCTCTGGATTTCTTTGAGAAATTCTGTCTACATTTAAAATGAAAATATTCTGTTTTAGACCTAAAATTGGGTATTTGTTTTGTATTCTGACAAACGCATTGTTAAACAAATGCTACTTCTTTAGCATTTTATGGAAACATCTTAACATATTAATGTTTGGTGACGTTATTTCAGGTAACACGTTTTTCCCGTTTTCAATATAAACTCACGATCATAAATCACTTCATATTAAGCGCTTTAACATTACTTTAGTTGCATTAATTTAAACTCGAGCTCTTCTGTCATGCCATTTTTAAGTCTTTTTAGTTTTTCTTATTGAACCACTGGAGGCCTTTTTATGAATGTGTATCTAGGAGGAAAACACGTCTTTAAAAACCACACCCGACGACGGTCTCGTTTTAATACATATAACGGCTGCCTTCTGAGTGTAATTCTGAGCTAATCGGCTGCCCATGTTCACCTGCGGTTAATTAGCCCCAGCTAGCTGACCGCTCACACACAATTCCCAGTTTAACCACCGGAACAACCCACCACCAGTAACCAACTCCAATCCTATGTATTGATTATAAAAATGTTCCCACCGGGAAACACTGATTTTCATGTAAAGTTTACAGTAAAAACGTCAATTAATCCCTTTCTTTACTCACCTACAGCTCCGCGATGTGACCGCCTGGGAACTACTGAGGAGGGTCACGTGGGGGAATCTCAGCGAAATCGCCGCCTTCCATCGACGATGATTGGCCAACAAGACCCAGGGTCGGACGTTTCCTGTCAAATGTCAGTTGCCTATTGGCTGCAGAGAAATCTCTGTCGGACAGCCTGTCTTGAAGCTGAACCTCGTGGACGGCGATGATTGGCGCACCTGCCACAGGAAATGAACGCTGATTGGCTATAGTAAGCCTTTCGAAAGCAGAGTAATGGCGTTGGTTGAGGCTGAGAGTGAAACTAATTTTATAACAAATATCAGTAACTGAAAATGAATATTTCGGTTTGTTTATAAATACAGGAAGTCCGTAAGCTATACAAAGTGGTTTATATAGCAGTCTATATTGTATCCTATATCCTCAGTAGGTTTGCTACATATTTTGATAAAATCTAATGAGGAAAAAGAAACTACTTATGATTACATTTTTTTTATAATTATTGAACTGAATTGAGGGTAAAATAGACATTTATCCTTTCATATATTAAAAAAAAACTGATGAGAAAATTTTTTGTTATAATTCATACTCCACATTCTATAAAGCAGGCACCCCACTATAAAACCAGTATACTTTTTTATACTATCTGGTACTGTAGGAAGAAGCTTCAGCATGGTAAACTGAGCAAAGGATGGGTCAGCATACATTATCCTGAAATACAGTCACAGTGGCCTAACTAACAACTTGGAGCACATTTAATCATATTACATTTTATGAAGTACCATGGGAAATGAGTGGTAAGAATGTGTTTGGACAGTTTGTGACCAGGCAGGGAAAATGACTGTTTTCAAAATAATAAATATGTAAAACATAAAAAGTCCCTTCATTCTCATTCATACTCAATAGTAACACTGCTGTCATAGATTTTTGGGGCTTATTATAAACAGTATTATCTCATCTTTTTTCAGCCTATCCCACCTCATGCAGGAACATAACACTAGTTGAAAATCTGAGCCTGACACATATCTGTGTAACTGTCAATCCATGGTTCTGTTCTGTACTGAATTTTGAATCCCTGCAGTCTTCACAGGCAGGAAATGTCATCCGCGGAAAAGGGGTAAAGCTCATGCAGAGTATTGTCAGGAAAAATTCAAATATTGGGATCCATCTGATCCATTCAACAAAGCAATAGTCTAATTGAGGTTGTTCTGTCAAACTTAGAACAGCAGCAGTCTTTAAAAAAAAACAACAGAAGCAATGCCCACATAGAAAATTAGAGTTATCAATGCTTTAGGCTACCATAACAATCGTAAAATGCTTAAACCAGCCAGAAAACCACTGAAATTTTTCAAATAAGGTCATCATTTCAAAAAAGTGTTCAAAAAATGATAAACTGGGCCAAAAAACAGAGATCAACAAACTGATCTAACAAACAGGACATGAGGGAAACTTAAATAGTGGCTGATCAGACCACTGTTGACACACAAGGGGGATAACTGACTAACAAACTAATAAACTTGATTAAACAGATAAATACTGGCCAGAAACTAAATACACTACAATTTTAAATGTAACTAATTAACAACATTATCCAAACAAAGAATATTTAAAGAAATGATAAACAAATTTCCCTTCCCATTACAAATGGTTTGACCCGCTGATTAGCCCGCAACAACCAATTGAGGAAAGCTGGAGCTCATTGCAGCCCTCCACCAGCAGATCCAAAGGAAACTGGCAACTTAAAGAAAAAAGAAATTAATCAATTACATCTTGACAAAAAAAACAACCTGACAAATAAAGTTAACTAAATGTTGGCACTGCAAAAAGCTAACTTAAAGTCACGCTAATGAAAATATATGAAATGTGCAACTCATTTTGAAAATGAAAAAATGTAAATGTTAACACACAGCTTCAGAGTGTGACAGCAGGCTGTCACGTGGACTATATAATAATTGATATGTAGGCTGATAAAAAAAAAAAATACCATAACATGCAGATAATGTAACAGAATCACATACAAACTCATTGATAGATTTAATCACTTAATTGAGACTTAATTAGATAAGAATATCAGAACAATCCAGACTTGATCTTGGTTTTGTTCTGGTATCTGTTTGGGATCATCACTGATCTGATCATTGTTTGGAACGCCCACCTTGGCACAAGTCTTATTCTTCTGACTGTACGATCATGAAGTTGAAGGATTTGGAATTAATCCTCATTGATTATTCCATCCAAATTCAGAAATGAACCAAAACATAGAATTTGAATTTTCACTGCCACAAACTAGCGAAGCAAATAGGCAATGAAAGCATGAATGTACATGGAAGACTTGGAAGAAAACTAAAAATATACAAAAAATCACCAAAAAACAGATTCATAAAAGGAATTCAGTGCAGTTTGTTAAAAAGAAAAACAGATCCCAATGTAAACATCATCTTACTAGAGAGCTGTAGTATTCTAAGTTTCCAAACCTTATTTTGTCTCCTCCAAGGATACTTCTTGTCAGACTTTTTCAAATGTTCTGATGATTTATCTCTACAAGAAGGAAAAGAGAGTCCTGACTCTCTTTTGACTCTGAGTCCTGACTCTGGGAGCAGCTGTGTCAAAATCCAAGCCAAGGAAGTAGAATCATTCTCCAGAAGCATTGCATACATCAAATACACTAGTGAAGGTGCAATAAGCTTCCTGTTGCAAATGGAAGGAGACTGAACCTGCAAGATTGAGGTTTATTGGAAACCAACCCAAACAGGCCACTACCTTCTGTTTACCTCTTATCACCCACAAGAACAAAATATATCATCATAACTTTACGCCACAATGGCAGAAGGACATAAAAAAATAGTAATAATCAAAAAACTCTACATTCCTTTATGTCGACTCTGCCTTTCTAAGAATGATGAGGAAACCTAGAAAACACCACACAAGAGAGAGAATAAACATGTTTTTATTTAGAGTGAGCCAAATAAAACTCTGTTGGAAGGTGTTTGAGATCTGAACGTCCAAGAAAGAGACCAGTGGCGGCTAGAGAAAATGTTACACAGGAGGGCAAAGGAGGCGCAAAAGGTCTATACTGTAGCTATAGCTATAGCTGGACCTCTACTTTGAAATATGTAAGAAAAATCTAAATAAGTCACCAAAACATACCAAAATATTTAAAAACTATTTATTCAGTCATTTTCTTTACTCAGAAACAAAGAGATTTATTTAGTTAAAGGCCGACTGATTAAAGCAAACATGACACAAAAAGCTGAAGGAATTTTTTGAGAACCATTAAAAAAAAGGACAAATTTAAGTCGTCACTTCTTTGAGAGCTTGAGGAAACAATTGTTGGGCTGGATTTCAAAATGCCACAAAGAGAACCTAATCTATTGCTGTGACCCGCTGCTTGTCAAATGATCATCTGCCATGGTTGAATACAGGTGATAATAAATTAAATACACACCATCCATCCATTTTCCATCACGCTTATCCCTGCTGGGGTCATGAGGGGTCTCCAGCTGTCAATGGGCAAAAGGCGGGCTACATCCTGAGCAGGCCCCCAGTCCATAGCAGGGGAACACAGAGACAAACAACAATTTACACACACTTGAGGAGATTTTAGAGAAACCAATTAACCTAACATTAATGTTTTTAGACTTTGGGAGGAAGCCAGAGTACCCAGAGAGAACCCACGCAACAGGGAAAACATGCAAACCCAATGCAGAAAGACCCTGGGCCAGGAGTCAAACCTGCAACCTTCTTGCTGCAAGGTGGCAACGCTATCCACTGTTCAACCAGCCCTAAAATGCATTATATACACATTTATGTATTATTTTGTAAATTAATGCTTAATAGGAAGGCTGTAAGAGCCTTTTAGACAAAGAAATGACTAGCGAAAAATCTTGAAAATGAGAAAAAAAAAAGAATCTGCTTCATTCTAATGATCATTATGATAACATTTCATATTTTGATGTTTACTTTCTGTGATTTTTTTTTTTTTTTTGTATTTGAATTATGTCTGTAAATATCTTAAGAGCTGAACATATAATTTAGTTTTTTTCATGTAAAAAGGGGACAGATGCAAGTTTCTTCATCTTTCTGGTCCTTTTTGATCATGATTTCTCTTAGTTATTATATTAACTATTAACATTTATTTATTCATTGAATTCATTAAAATAAAATAAAAAACATAAACTGTAGATGCAGTTCTTGGCACTTTCCTGATCCTTAAGTAAAAGCTGAGCTGCAACCATCATCATGTGATCTCCAGCATGTGATCCACTGCTGATGGGACCCACTATCCAGAAAGCTCATTCAACCCTTTTTATTACCTGTGGTGGAGCGGTTTAAAGGTTTCTGGCCAGCACCTCTTGTTATCTTAGTTTTTTCATTGTTTTGATCAATGCTAGAGAAGTGAATAAAAGCTTTAAATATTCAAGAAAACTTCTTCACTTCTCTTGACTTGGCTTTCAGCCATTTGTTCCACAATCAATCCACAATCAAGTAGACTTTGGAATATCTATTAAACCTTCTCTTTTTACAGATGATTTTAAAATCAACTGTTTAGCTCATGTTTTTTTTAATCAAAAATCAATCAGTCTATAACTTGAAAACCCCAAAAGACCCCGAGAGCGTCAAATATTTGAAGGGTTGTGAAAATTAAAATGTATTTCAATATCTAACCTCATGAGGTCGCTGTTGTCCCAGTTGTTAACATTTCTAGATGAATCTATAGCTTATTGTGCTGGTGAAGAATCTCAGTCATCCAGGTCATAGTTATTAAAAAAAAGTTGAAAAACAATCCACTGGACTTTTTTTTTTTCAAGTTAGAAGAGGTTTCTCTTAACATCCAGGAAGCTTTTTCAATTCAAAATGTCAGAGTTAGCATTGGGTTTGAGGCTTTATAGAGTGGCCAGTTAACATTCTTAAACAGAGACTAGTTCATCCTAAAGACAAAACCCCCAGACCAAATATGAGCGGAGTGGTGTATGCAGTTCAATGCAGGGAGAAATGCTCTGATCTTTATACTTGAGAAACCAAATAACCTCTCCACAGATGCATGGATCAACAAAGAAGAGCGACCTCCTCCGGACAAGACTCGACTTATGCACAAAGGACATTCTTTTGAGGACCAGAATATTCCTATTTTGGACAAAGAAGACAGGTAGTTTGAAAAGGGTGTGAAGGAAGCCATCCATGTTAAGAGAGAAAACAACCTTAAACAGAGGGAGATGACTTCCCACTATCATCGCAACCCCCACCACCATATAGGGGAACAGAACATCTCGTCTGTCCAGCCAGGCCAACAATTCCCCCTAACGACCCTCTTTCAGAGGCATTGACCAGTATTGGGTATTGCAGGCTAACAAAATAACCCAAAGGACCCCCCATTCCTATGAGATGGACTCATTATTCAGGTTCAAATTGCATGATTTCTAAGCCAAAACAAGGCATTGTTTTGGCCCACTATATAAAGCCTAAGAAAGGATATGTCAGTCTGACCCATCAAACTCATGACTAGCTTCTACAGCTACCCTGGTGTCTGATTAGATTTTCTCACTGAGAAAAACAATTGTTTAATGTTTTGTTTTAACTTTCAAGTTCAATTCAAAATGTCCTTGAAAATTTGTTGTTATTCATTAACAGCATATTGGGAGAATCTCGCCAGGCTCTATGTCCATAGCTTGGTCTTTAAAAAGTGCATGAGAAAACATTTTTGTTTTTTCATGAGAAAACATGAAGTGGTATAAGTCTGTGGGCGGAGCTAACATTGATTCTGTTAAAATCTGTGGCAGCTTCCACCATGCTACACCACAGCAAGCTCTCTTGTTAACCCATGATATTGTTCAAACCAAACTGGGGATGTAAATGCCGTAAATAAAATGCAACATGTTTCTCTGCCTTTTTCAGCGATACTATTGACTTTAGAGTTAAAAAAACAAAAAACATGAAGAAATTGTTCTTTCTTACTCAATAGGAATCAGCCAATCACACATCTAAGTCCCTCCACTGAGTTTAATGGGTGAAGTTGAACAGTTTAAATTATTTCCCTAATGAGTTATTTATTTAATGCGCTAATTCCATAAAAAAAAAAGAAGGCGGAATTAAATAATGAAATGTACATTGAAATAATTAAATAAAAAACATTTAATCATAATTTAAGTTTTATATTATGGCACATTTAATAATTTCATTTTCCATCCATCTTCTCCTGCTCCATCTGTCAGGGTCCCAGTGGGGCAGGTGCCCATGTCAGGCAGTCTATGGGTAAAAGGCGGGGTGCACCCAGGAATGGTTGCCAGTCCATCACAGGGCAACACAGAGACATACAAATGCACACTCACACCAAAGGACAATTTAGAAACTCCAGTTAACAATGTGTTAAATAAATAGTACATTTTAATATTTATTGGTATTATCTACTGGTATATTTATGTATTCCGTTATTTAATTGTATGTTTATTTGTAATACATTTACACCTATTTATTTAATGGTATATAACGGAGGTCTTCAACCAGAGGCGTAGCCAGGACATTTAAATAAGGGCGGCCAGGCAATAACTAATGTACACTGAGGGATGGCCGAAAGTGGATAGGCACCAGAACCTCATGGTCAATCTACACTGTTCCAACAGGAAAATTAACGAGCAAAACATCCATATTTTCTAAATAAAGAAAAAATATAATTTGCCACAGCCTTTGCTAAAAAGTAGACACACATATCTAAACATCCGCGCTTTTTAAATAAAAGGTATAGTGGATAAAATTCTTTCAGTTTTGAGTTCTGGGGCATAAATCTTTTCCATCGTCATTACTTACCTACTTGTATCAGTAAACATTCTGCATAAAATTGATATTTACAAGCACTAATATCTACCGGTACATAAATTCATTATTTGATAAGTTTTGGTTAAATTTTCGCTTCAAATTTCACTGAAGACTTCCAGATGACTTGCAGAGACACCTTTTTTTCTCTTTACCTCATATAAAAAAAAATCTAGTTCTGAAAAGAGTATTAAATTTTGTATTTCTCACCTTTGATGTTATAATATTGATGTGTATAATTTTAATGTTTTGAATATTCCCCTTGAGAGTATTACTGCTGCCACCATCTGTATTAGAGGGAAAAAAGTGGTAGGGGTGGCCACAGGGGTGGACAATGATTGGCTAAGGGTGGCCTTGGCCACCCCTGGCCCCCCATCTAGCCCCCATCTAGTCTTCAAAAGGGGTTCCTAGACCCCTGGGGGTCCACGGAGGTACTGCATGGGGGGTCACGAAAGCTTTGGTCGATTAGACCTTTTTTTTATATTCCCCCCTGCAATTTTTTCCCACTAATTGAAATGTCTTTCAATACACTTTAACATGAATTCAACACACTGTAGTAAACAGATAAATGGAGGTAGAAGATGTCTTTCAGTCGTCAATGCACACGTTTAGTGACACGCAGGAGCTCTTTCAAGCTTGGCACCGTTTCATTCACAACACCTGTCCCATCAACAAGGAATCAGTATCAGAAATACTTTATTAATCCCAGGGTGAAATTACTTTAGTTACATTAGTCTATGTGTAATAGAGTTACTATAGGACCAGTTGATATAACACAATTTCATACAATGTATATAATTAGGGGGTCCCTGCTCCATTTCACCATCTGTTTGGGGTCCTTGGCCTGGAAAACGTTGAAGACCTGTGGTATATACAATTATTTCAAATTTGTTTCCATGAACTCTAAATAGGCAGAAAGTCTGCAGGTTTCTGTCTGCAAGAAATACTCAATTGTCTCTCACAAAGTTCCAGTGAGGAACTTTCCAGTGAGGAACTTTCCATAGGTTTTAATGAAGTTCACAGTAAGTTCCAGTTACCAACCCTACCAGCTGCTAAATGATACTCTGTAAGTTCACAAACACTAACCTGTAGGTTTAAACAAAGTACCCTTTAAATATGAAAAAAGAGCTGCGATGAAGATTTTATCAAGGTGAAATAAATGTTCTGGGAAGCAAATCTCCAAGTTTTTATAACATTTTCTAGATATTCCTACTGAATCAGCAGAGAACTAATGTGTCAGTGCCAGTGGAGCTTTGTGCTGAAATGAGTATGTAACTGACGGCTGTTAGTGGAACTGTTTTGGAATTGTGGAAAATTGCAAATGAATAAAAACAAGAAAAAAAGCACACCAAAAGGCTTACATCATTTAATTTCTCTCTTTATTACAATCCACTTATTTGATAGAAGTTTTAAGATAATTTAAATAGTTTATCTAAAGGGTAGAAAAGACACAAACAAGATGACAGCAATGCAATCCAGTGCATCATAGAGGAAATGAAATAAAACTCAAGTTTATGTCCTGCATGAATGAAGTTCTAACTTAAATGTAAAAAAATGAACCTTATGAGTGATTCTAGACAGAGAGACAGGAGATCCGTGTCAGGAGAGAAAAAGTCCAGATAAATTGTTCCCTGAGATAATTTTCCTGACATTTTTTTATGTAATGATCAGTGGGAGCAAAGATTATGATATAAAAAAAATGAAATCCCCTAATAAGAACTTCTCTAATCATTTATGGTTCAGTCAGATTTTAAACAGAAATTGGCAAAGTTCCGCTTCCACAAACAGCTAACAGCATAACTAAATTTTTGTTCAGTGAATTGGCATTTATAACTTTTAAACTGCTAAAAGATGGTTTAACTAAGCTAAATTAGGTTTAGTTTACATTAAGTTAAATCCACTTATGGAATTCAAATTTTCTAATTTGTCTATTGTGAGCAATAGACAAATAGGCCTGCTGTTAGCTTAACATGAGTAGGCTACATGCTATGGTAGACTACAACAGGAAGTTGGGTTTAAATTAATGTTTTTTTACTGTGTTGGTCAGTCATTTTTTAGCCTTTTTTGTGCTTTTGATCTTTATTGTGTGTATAAGAGTTTGAGGTTGGCAGGTGTCACATGTTTTAATTTGAAACGCTGAGTCGTCTTAGCAGTTAGCGTTAGCTTTCACAAATCTTTTTATCAGTTTAATGTAGTGGAGCTAATATTTTATTTAGTGGTAAATACCAACAAACAGCACATTAAGGGGAAGATGTAGTTTGAATGTTACACCTTAAAAAGGATTATAATGTGACCTCTAAAATGTTTAGTTTCCATATTTTAGATTAAATCAAGTTTTATGTCAGATAATGATCCTTCCAAAGTCTGTTTTGCCCAAATCTTTTTTCTTTTTGTCATAAATGTTGGCAGAAAAACTTTAACTAAAATCAGCTGAATTATAAAAGCTCTTCATAACTTTTTATTATCTTCCACTCTCCTTTGCAGTCAGGCCATTGCTGTTTGAATAACTCTAAAAGGTATTTTGAGATTGTTATACAAAGGAATCAGGTGTCATGTCCACAAACTTCATCTGCTAAAGCTTTTATATTCTAGAAAGATTTGACTTTCAGTGATTCTAAGCTCAAACTAACCAGTTTCATGACCACCTGATCATCTCAGGTTGAGCTGTAATAGAGTCCAGCAGCAACCTCTTCATCAATATAACCAGCAGACTACCGTAATGCTAAAATGGAGGGACAAACTTTTTTTTAAGATTTAAAACAGATACAATTAAGCCTGACATCTAGATGAGAACATCAACTTGGTTACTTGCTACTGGAGACCTCGTAGACATAGCTACTGGGGGTTCTTTTACTGAGAATAACTGGATTTGCTCTTTTAATCTTCTAAACTTGAATATTAGTTCACAGCTAATCAAGTACAGAGCTGGTGCAACAATGGCAGCAGGTCGTTTCAACAATTCAGGCAGTTTGGATGTTTCGGCATGATGGAGCCCCATTAAGACTAAAAAGAAAACATAGTGGATCAGTAATCAGAACCTTAAAGCTTTGGATCTGTGGTTAGAAACCTCCCCAGATCTAAACCACATGAGAACCTGTGGTTGGTTCTGAAAAAGCATGTGGAGAAAAATAAGCCATTAAACTGGGTCTGCACCAAGCAGCTAGATTAGAAGAAACGACTGAACTCTCAGAACCCCCAAACCAAGATCCATCAGGTAAGGTTTGATGTAACGTGGTGTTGAAAAAAGCTTCTTGGCATTATTTATTGGATATTAAAAAATTATATTCCAGCACATCTTCCATCCAAACTAAAGGGAATAAAATTGTGTCAGGATTTGATGGAGTTATTTACAGCGATTGAAGGCACCTACTGTGAGAGTGAAGCACAGTGGGGAATCTGAAGGGAACAATTTATCTAAAACTCCCTCTCCTCTAAGAATGGAGGCAACACAAATCCCTTTCTGGAAGACAAAGTCTAGATGGACAACAGTCTCTTTACAGAAAACAGAAAGTTGTTACACTGGACAGAAATAGACAGCAGAGTAAACTACAGAGCACTGTGGAGTAAAGGCCTCAGTTACCTTAAACTTTTCCAACAACGGCTGCCTTCATCAGTAGTTTCAGGATGCATGATAGTTCAGGACGGACGCTACATGTAATAGAAATCTGCTCTGTCTTCATTAAGGCAACTTGTTAACTGACAGAGGGGGAACCCGGAGCAGCTGACGCACACAGACACGGGTGTGTGTGTAAACATACATGAGGGCGTAGGGTGGGTGATGGCAGGAAGGGCCGTGTCTGCAGACAGGAAGTGTGTCAAAGCAGCAGATTGATCCTCTCTGACTTCCAGTGTTTTCACATTTAGCTTACTGTATGTACACATAGATACAGAATCTCCTAGATAATTACAGCCTTGTGTTGTCGTGGAAACCGGCACAACATTTTTTCCTAAGATGCCGCCTGTCTGAATGGTTTCAGTCTCTGAGCTGATCGCTCTGCAGCGGCCAGGCTCGGCCACACGGAGGTGCTCTAGCGCCGCTGTGAGGAGCCTGCAGGTGGGCTCAGGTGTGACTGAGGGAGGCGGAGCTTCACTCTGCTTTCTTTATGAAGATCTGCAAGACAGAAAAAAACAAACATGTAGTTTGTTCTGTCACTGTTAAGATCCTATAAAACTTTCCAAAGGTCCTCAAAGGTCAAAAACACAAAAACGCCACCACCTTTGCTAAGATCGAGTCCAGTCAGTCCCAGCATGAAGAACACAGAGACCTGTGGTAAAGGTTCCCCTTAGTGCCTGACCTGACCTCTAAACCTCCTTTGAACCAGTTAACCGTTAATGCACTCTGACGGTGCTACAGGGCTGTAGTTCCTAAGCAGGAGTAAAGCTTGGGAACAGAACCTTCTTAGCTTGCTTACCAGACAGAACAGGTTCTTGTGAATCCGATTTAGAAACATGACAAAAATCTGCTCTGTGTTTAAAACTAGCAACGTGATGATCTGGTTCACGTAACGACGTGTGGTTCCCTTCTGTCACTAAGAACAGTCAGCTTAAAAGAAACAGGCCGCTCCTGTTTTTATACAGTTTATACCCATAAACCTCTGATTGGTCTCACCTCGCTGAGGATCACCCACACAGGTGAGTCCGTTATCACTGTGAGACGCATGGCCTCCAGGGGCCCAAAGGAGGGGTCCACCTCTCCTTCTGCAATCCCGTTCTGGAAGGATCCTAGAAGACAGAACATCAGTGCAGTCAGTATAGAAACCTGAAGAGATAATTTTCTGCTGCAGCTTCTTCAGTCAGAACCTTTTCTTTCGGGAATGAGCCCACTGGATTATCAGGGCTCAAAATAAACTTTTAGCATCTAGGTTCCAGCTTAGCACCGAGGGTCCTTCACAGCACTTTCATTTAGACAGAAATCTGGACTTTTACTAGGTTGTTTTGCAGTGTCTTCTTTTCCAGTCTCTCTATTGCAGAGCTCCTGCTGTATTTGGGACCATAGTTCTACTGATCAATTCCCAACATAATTTCAGCTGTTGGACCTCACATCTGACTTTAGATGCTGATATACAGAAGGGATCATGGTCCAGTCATTGAGTGCAAGCCCACATCATCACTCCTCCAACAACTTTCTTGGCAATAAGAATTGTTCTAATCAGCTGAGTTTGGTTTTCTTTAAAGACATTTATGTCCATAATAGTTCAACATCTCTATTCTAGCAGATACCAAACCTTAGAGATCATCCAGAATCTACACCTTCAGCAGTCTTGCTAAATTAATGATTAGATGCTTGAGGATTGTAAGGGCCAAAAAGGGTCTATTCTGTGTGTTTTCATGATTTATTATTGTTTTTAAATGGAAGCTGAGGTAATTGAGGGTTTCTTCTGCTTCCAGGGCAGATTAAAGAGGTTACCAAGGGGTATTAGAACTGACTCCATTTATCCAGACTCCATTAGGCGACCGCACGCTTTTCTGTTCTTGTGTGTCTCCATCAGGACCAGCCAGTCGTCTCATTTCAGCTGCTTTCACCTCATCAGAGCAATAATCCAAGTGAGGATTATAATTCATGCTGTGATGCTTCCAGGTGCAGCTGTAATCCCTGCAAAGAGCAGGGTCTACAGTGTGTGTTACTGTTGGTTCCCGTGTATCAGAGATTATTCTCCCTCTAAAGGCTTTCAGCTGCTTGTACACAGCTGGGTGGGAAACATAAAACCCTGTGCAGGTTTTTACTGGCAGCTAATGGGACTCAGGAAACACCAAATCATTTCCTGAACTTTTTCCTCTCAGGCTGGAAGGACATTAGCAGTCTTCCTGAACAGCTGCAGGACAAAGCAGCTGATGGCAGCGCGTGTTTCTGAGTGCGGCACTGGAATCATTCAGACATAAACCCAGCGGATGACAGTTTCAGATCCGGCATGTGAGGCCTTAAATCAGAATGCTGTGAAAATGTTTGCATTTCGGACAGCAGCACCTGCACTAAAAGCTCCTTCACGTTCCAGGGCCTCAGACAGAGAAGAGGGTGCAGTTTTGAGGCTAAACATTGGAAAAAGTTTGCTGCTGAAGAAAGGTCAGATTATCAAACTGTGCTCTCTGCTAAGGCATGTTTCTGTTCACCTCTTGTCCTTCAGACATCCCAATTTGTGAAGCTGACCACCCGTTCCAACCTCTAAATGAATATACAAAGTAGTAAAAATACCAAGAGGACTTCCAGCATGTGTTGAAATAAACATGACAAGATTATTTAGCTGACTTTTTCCCCGATCTTCCCCTTATAAGACATCTCAGTTATAGCTACGGCTCTAAACCTGATCCTCTGTGATTTTGCTGCTACATGTGGCGTATCAGGTGAGACCATTTCTACCAGGAACAATGTTGGGACTTTAAACCTGAGATATAAAAAGTAGAATCTTGTAGTATTAGATAGTAGTAGTTGTTTCCTTCCTTTAGTTTCAGTGAAAAAATGAACTGTGGCGACCGAATGTTTTAATGTAAAAGGAACTTAATTCAAATCTTTTTCTTTAAAAGAAAAAAAAAATCAAATAACATTCGACATGGTAATACCGGTAACTGATCATTCAACAAACTTTTTCTCCTTAGGGATGGAAGGGCCCATCTAATAGCTAGTTGTAAAGCAGAAAGATTTCACAGGGGTAGCCAGGCAGGGGCCAATGTGCCCTTAGGGGGCCCGAAAGCTGACGGACGCCAAAACAGTTCAGGATCAAAGCTCACTAGTCACATTAATAAAACGTGTGAATTCTGCAAATAAATCAGAGAACGCAAACATTAAGCCTTTGCTAGTAAATATACACACATCTATGTTGTCTAGATCTGTTACAGTTCTGCATAGTTTCTGCATTATTGTATGAAACTAAATTTGATCCAGTTGAATTGAAGTTTACACCATAAAAACTTAAACTCATGGGGGAAGAAAATGATGCCCTTGATACCCTTTAAAATAAAAACTACTGAATGGATTAATCAGTTTGTTATTGTTGATGGAAAATGTTTGCGTGGCTCGCCACATGGCATTGAGTCACGGCTCACCTATCCGGATGAACCCATCCTCAGTCCGGTGGTACTTTGGTTTTTTCTCCCTTCCATCAGTCAGTGCCTCCTTCTCTGCCTGGATATTCTGGAAAACAAAAACAGACGGATTCATTCTCATTTCACTCTCTTCCGCTAATCCTTCTGTTATCACTGCAGTTTGGTCCAAAAGTTCCTACAGAGGAAAAGGTTCTACTGGATTCTGCTGTAAAACGAGGAACAATAAAAAACCTTTTTATTGGTTTCAAAGGTTTTTGTTATAAGATGCTCAGACCAAATCTGGACTGATGGTGGGGAACTCTTGCTCCTTTTGGATCCTGGAAAGGATCCAGTTCCTTGGCTTTTGTTTCTCCACCTTTTTTTCAAAACTGTGACCACAGGTCAGTTTTCTGACCTAGGGTTCAAAGGTTCAAGGTTCTGAAGAGTGATCCACTTCATCTTCCTTTTAGCTTTATGATACAAGGTTTGATCATGCTGGTAAATCCACAGATTATCACCAAACTGTGCCTGAAATATTGAAACCACCCGTTGCTATAGCTGATCAAGCCCTGCACAGGATGCACCAGGTTTCTGCCGCTCCCTCCTTGGACCTCCTGGATTTTCTTCGCAGCCACTAGCTCAGACCTCTGTCCTTTCAGCTGCAGCAGCCTCCTTAATTTGAGGCTGTTCTAAATAAAGTCTTTGATTGCAATCATAGTTTTTACTTTGAGCCAGGGCTGAAACAGTTAACAGGATTGATTGTGATGAAGTAATTATTGAAATAACTGTCAACTAATTTAAAAGAACGACACACTCAGAGCTTAATGAAGACAAAACTGTAGAACAATTATTGACATTTTGCATTTATGAGGACAAACTTTCTTGTATGTAAATATGCTCTAATGTAACTACTCAAGAAGTTTTAATTATTCGCAATTTATCTAAAATGCACTATATTTGAGACACCTGTTTGCTAAGATATGTTAATTTAATTTAACTTAATAAGAGGTTTTTTTTTCAAATAAATCAACTAATCAAAGTCACTTTAATTGATCACTAAAAAACAAAAGCTGCAGCTCTACTTTGAGCTGAACTGATGATACAAACTAGTTTTTGATGATTACTAAGGTAAACCTGTGGTGTGCTGGATCAGTCCAGAGTTCTCTTCCATGAGATTTTAAAAAACCAGGAGGACTTCCGAACAGATGCAGAACCCCTGTATTTATTTTCCTCATAATAAAGAAAGAGGGAGAGGATATGAAGATATATTTTCTTTCTTGGAGCCTCCACCGCCAGGTTGGTGTTCCATCAGATGAGCATACCCGGTCAGAACAGCATCCCCATAGTAAATACCGCTTTACCACTTTAGTTAAGCCCTTTAGTTTTGTACGAAAAATGAACTTTAAGCTACCACAATGGGCGTGTATCCCTTTATTCATATATAAATCAACCAATTGAATTGCTTATTTTTAGTTCTCTTGAAGTGTATGGCGATCTGACCTTAAATTGTTTTTTATTTTTAACATGACTGAAGGGATACATTTTAAAGTCTATTTTTCATACAAAACTAAAGGGATAAACGCACTATGGGCCGGATTTATCAAGATCCAATTTTGCGTGCAGTAATTTGCGCTCGCAAACTGGAATTTTGCGCGAGNTTTTGTGGTTTGCGGCAAAGTAGTTTGTGCAAACTAGTGCATTAAGAAATTTTAATCTTACAATGACCCCCCCACCCTCTCCAAAAAA